GAAAACGACGCTTTGATAGAAAAATTCAGCGATACTTGTCCGTATCGGAATTGAGCATTCGGGCGATCGGAGGAAAAAAGCTTTAACCTTCTCGGTTTCATCAGTAAGACGCGATCAAATATTTTGACGAAGGAAGAAGGAAAGAAAAAACGGCGAAAAGAGAGAAAAAGGCCAAAAAAACTCGCCTGGCAACTCCAACTTCTACAGCGATGGGTAATTCCTTCCCGTCGAAGATCAGACTCACGTGCATGCCAATGAGCTCTCACTGAGATCAAAGCAAAAAATTTGTCAAAAAAAGCTCGCCGATTGTTTTCTTTTTGTTTGTTTGTTTGTTTGTTTCCGAAGTAGCTACGGCATTACGGAAGAAACCATTTTACACGCAGGACATCCTTGTGCCATTCCTTTTTTCCTCCTCGCCTTCTTACTTGGCGCTCGATTCCATCAGGGACAGATCTTTGGCATCGCTGTCCTTGGCTCTGTTGTTCACTTTCTTTCGCTGCTTTTTGCTCTGCTCGTTATCGTCGTCTGCCAAGTCGAACTCGTCGTCATCGTCGAGGGTCCTCGCGGACTTGGCGTCCGAAGGCAGCAGAAGCGGCGACGCGGACGCAAACGGCGAAGAAACGACGTTGTTCAAGAGATTATTGAGCATGCCGAGCGATCGCAACGCAGGATCAGGCGGAAAGAAACCCAACGGCGGCGGAGGGCCGACTACAGTCAATGGCGCAGTTCCTGCAGTCGGCGTGGTTCTTCTCCTGTTGCTGCTGCTGATGGGAGAAGAATCCCCGTCGGGCGACAGTCTCGACGTCGGCGGTGGCCCCGACGCTGCTGCTGCAACTCCGATCGACGAAAGTTTACTTCGCTGCTGCAAGTCCTCCAGCATCAGCGATGACATATGATGGCGGTGATGATGATGATGGGGGTGATGATGATGATGGTCCGCTCTCGGCAACACGGCAGCAGCTGCAGCGGCGGCGGCCAAGAACGACGCTGATGTCGACGGCGGCGACGAGCGCAGATGGAACGGCTCACTCGCCAAATGCGATGGGATCTCCCCTTTGCGGATCAGGTCGAGCTTTAGCGATTTCCCGTACTTGCCACGGACATACATCAGCAAGCTGTTGTACGGGATCCCGAAAACTCGCGACGCCTGTGCCGTCTTCATGCGGCCGCTCCAGACGTGACGCAGGGCCTCGGTCAGGTTTTCGTTGGACCAATGCCGTGGAGGGCCGCCACGCGGGGCACTGAACATGGGCACCCCACTGGTGCTGCTCGTGTTGCTACCGTTGTTTCTTGACACCGAGTGGCCAGTGCGACCCACGGCCTCACGCAACGAAGGCATGAGCAGCGTCGCCGCCGGAGATGGCACGAAATCTCTTTCTTCAACTTTGATGGCACCGTTATTATTCCCACCGCCGCCGCCATCATCTCCAGAATTCCGCCAGTCCACGGAACTTTTCCCGCTCAAGTCCAGTTGTTCCTGCTGCTCCTCGTCGTCTTCCTCTTCAAATTTCACTTCTTTCTTTGTTAGAAGCTGCAACGGCTCTTCGTTTTCTTCCATTTCTACGGCACAAGTCATCGCTACCATTGGACAAATTACCGGTGATTTATCTCTCCGACGCTGCGGTCTCGCCTGTAATAATAAGCTTTCATCAACGAACGCTGAGATGAGGAAAAAATAGGATATAAGTAAGCAGTACAACACCTATCATGAAAGTGGTTTGTATGCTGCATCGGTAACTATGCGACCTTACAGTGATTTTACTGTAAGGTTAATTTTACATGAATCGCAAAATTCGACGAACTAGCTCAGCCAAGGATAACTGAAGTAATCGAACATATTCCTAGCAATCCAGATCTCGACGCAGAAAAAAAATGCCTACCATATCACAGTTGAACGATTTCGGTAAAAATTAAATAAATCAAAATCGAGCCTAACCTTGAAGAGAACAAAAGAAACTCAGCGTAACATAAAAACTGAAATAAACTAACCTAACCCAAGCCACGCATTTCACCTTGAAATAATCCTGAACAAAATCTGAACGAATCAAACTTCTACGCCTCAGATGCGTTATTGATGAATAAGCACATGATCAGAAAAGCACTTCGTTTCAGTTTAAATAATAAGAAACCTAATGGAAAACTTGCCTGTTTCCTCCGCAACGTTGGAGATGCACGAGGATTGAAAGTCACTCGAGAATGTGGCGGCGAGGCTGCCGAACCGTTTAGTTCGAGTGGTATTCCTTCATCGACATCTTCGGAACGACTCAGCTTCAACTCGGATGGCGCGTAGTCTTCTTCCGCGATGGAGCCCGGCGACGATGGCGCCGAATCTTCTAGGCACTGTTGTGGTAGCATCATGGACGGGCTCATGTGCGGCTCCTGTTTACACAAGCCCAAGCCATGAATCTAAGAAATAGACCACGGAAATTAGAAGACGCAGCACAGAACGGTAAACGCAACGCAAACCTGTAGAGCGTCCGCTGCTTTCATGAGTTCTGGCAACTGATCCTGGCTGACCAAAATCTCCCCGCGATACATGAAGTCGACAAGTAGTCGCAATTCCCACGACATCATGTTGTTGAGGATTACCGTTAGATGCTTCCCTGGCGTCTCCGAAAAAATTTTGGCAAAATAAGAACTGAAACACGGGCGAAGATTGATTACGGTATCGTTCCGGGGTGGAACAGTACAGGTTTCTACTGACCTACATGCTGACAACACAATTCTGTGTACTTTGAACAAGGCATCTTCACAAACCAACGTAACATCGACGAGGCTCTCAGTCTGCAGCAGTGCCTCAAAGAAAGAGAACACGTGCCGCTGATGGTTGTTCCACTTAAGATTGTACTGGAGGGATGCCATGGCTATCAGGGAGCAATTCGGGGCACTTTCCACAGGGAAGTTCAATGAATCTTGCGGAAATCACTTCTGATGGAGCATGAGCAGCGCAACAACCAGCAAGGCACATCGCAGAATGCGCATCACATATCACTCTCGTAACAGAATTCCAGACCCAATTTCACAGCCCATGAAGTTCCGCAGCTTCTCCTTCAGTCGCTTGCTGCCGCCTGGTTTACCACAGCTCGAACTTCAAAGGCAAATATACTACGTTCCACGAACGAATCAAGCACTGGGTTAGCTGCGAAGTTGAATTTTATTTGAGATCCAAAGCAAGTACAGAGGAGTTATAGATCCTTCGCAAGCACAAACCGTCGTACCACATCCCCCTCATGATCTGCAAGAGAAAACCACCAAATGTAGGCAAAGTATCAGTTTACCGAATTCGGAGAGCATTTCGCACGATATGACCAGTTCCGAAAAAATTGCAGGACAACCCGATTCATGACATCAGTTGAGGCATTCCACCTTCTATCGCACATGAACGCGAATTCCCGGGCTCCGAGAACCAATTACGTGATGCCGGAAGCCGACTGTCGAGTCATTCCCACTGGCGTTTGGAGGGGAGAAGAGGAGGAGCATATAGCGCCCCTGACGATGTCCTTCTATAACAATGAAAAACTTTCTTTGGTAACGCGCAGTTGACAAGAATATGAGATTAATTCAAAGAAGAATGTCCCGATAAAAATTGTCGAATGTTTCTTACAGAATTTCATACAATTTCCAACAAATTTTCGTATCACAGTACATTACATTAGCCCATCATGTCAAAAATGCACAGCTAAAGTAGAATCCTTGCCATAATCGCAGTATTGTAATATATGAACGTTACAAACGTTTTCAAGGCCATGAGCAAGCGTGAATGGAAACTGTCGCCAAATTTCTCAAGGACAAATCCTTGATGATGTGAACAATTTACATCATACACATTACCATATACAGTACTGTGCAATCTGAACTACGAATTCGACCACTGAAATGAGCATCATGATGCCAACATAACCTCTGAACAATTTGAGATGAATTACCCTTTATAATATTTTGTGAAAGTAAAGGAATAAATTAAACTATTTATACGATTTTCTCGGCAATATACAGGTGAGCTTCACGTTAATAAGACAACTGTTATGATACTCTCGGAACAATGATGATTCGTCAGAAATCAATTCGCTAAATTCATGCCTTCATATGGGCAGTGGAGAACAATGCCGCATTAACTTCTGCGTTGTACAATATGTAGTTCGCAATATGCGTTGGATTGGGAACAGGTAATAGAGAGTAATAAACGGCGGATAACTACACAATTCAAAAACGGGCCAAGACGGAGAAAAATGTAGAACCGATGGTACTCATCTTGATCCATTTTATTTCTCTAAGTGGATGATCGCGTATAGAATACTGTAGTAGTTCTGGAGGTTGAAGAGTTAGTGCTGTAAGTGCTGATGGGCACTAATGTTGATGTTGCTGCATCCCTGGTTGAACGTACAGTCTAAGAACAATAATTCACTACGTAATCTATAGATGTCACGAGTGTGAAGTGTCTTGACGGCGCGCTAGGAAGCGGCGCTCGGTCACCGCTTCGGGACTTAGTCGCCTGCCACATCGGTGGAATCCCGTTTGTGAACCACGAATTTGCCGCACTCCAACAATCGAGTTGAGGTCGTCACCGTTCCATCTGCCGTGCATAAGGCGGTGGCGAGATTCGGATACTGCGGTCGAAAGCATCCACTCCGTGCTACTGACCTACTGTATATCCCAATGTTTCTTCTGACGCAGTTAACTCCATGCGTTGTGATGTTTTATATCATTCGGTCGCCAGTTTACAGTGAATACTTATGAAGAGCTTACGTGAAGACCAGTTTCCGCTAGTTCTTAATATCGTGTGACGATTTGGAGGTCTGCTTGAATTTCCCAACCGTGTGGTTCTTGCGGTAGTGGATGAACGGTTGATTTGCATGGCGTTTTCGGAAAGAAAGTGGCCTTCCCTATGTACTCGAAGGAGTTTCTAGTGGATTTTTTTACTTTGGCAACACGGGAGTATAATTCTGTTGATACATTCTCTTACTCTATTAGGATCAGTGTGAGAGGCGTCGTTATTCACGATGGGACGAGTGAGGACGAAAACTGTCAAGAAAGCTTCCCGAGTTATCATTGAAAAGTACTATCCAAAACTGACTTTGGATTTTCATACGAATAAGCGTATGTGCGAAGAAATTGCCATCATACCCAGCAAGAAATTGCGGAATCGCATCGCGGGATTCGTCACCCACCTTATGAAGAGAATTCAACGAGGAGCAGTACGCGGGATCTCCATCAAGCTTCAAGAAGAAGAGCGGGAACGCCGAGATAATTACGTGCCTGAGGTATCCTACATTGATGCCATGGATGTTCTGGAGGTCGACCAGGAGACAAAGGACATGCTGAAGGACTTGGATTTCAATAGTATTCCAAATCTGCAGATTTTGCCCTCGGCAGTCGCTTGAAAATCTTGCGTGATTGAATGGCAGAGAAATGGAAGACTTCTTTGACCCTTTCATCATGCTTTATTATTAATTTCTCTTGTGAATCGAGTGGATGTTATTCACTCGTCAAGAAGGAAACGTGTCTCTGTTTAGACTTCTCTATGTTTTCCTGGATAATGTAATGTTCCTGAAGTAAATTGAAACAAACTGCAACCACAGGACGAATTTTCAGTACTTTGAATTTTTCGTTAAATTTGTTTTTAGCATATCGAATTCAGCTTATTACATGACTGTTGTATGCTTAACATTCCTGATGTAAAATTTACTATCGCTCATCTCAGAAACGATGCACCAGTTCGGGAAACAAGAGAAGTTTCAATTCTGACGACAACTTTGATCCACTGTAACGCTAGAATTATTTCATTTGTGTTTTTACCAATTCCGCCGTACTTCATCATGTTCAATTGATATTTTTGCAGGAATGGCTAAAGTGAAAAAACGTGCCTACCGTTCGTCACGAATCGCTACTAATACTGTTACGCGCAAACCCGGTCTTGATGAAAAATTAACGAATGTCCTCAGTGAAATCAAGAAAAAGGTCGAGGGAGATGTTCCTTTTTTGACCTGTCAATCAACCTCCTCAGATTTCAACGATGTTGCATCGAACAAGTCATTTCGGAAGGCACTCGATGACGAATTCGACAGTCGCTCTGTCATAACTTCTATTTCAAAATCCGAAAACCGCCTCTTGAAGAAAGTAGAGAAGAAGAAGATAAAACGACTTCTATTCAAGAAAAGTACTGAACAACTTTGCTATCTGTGGAGGTTTTCCGACGTGATCTGTCTTTTTATATTTTATAGGGATTGAAGCTATCACCACTCAGATGAAGGAAGAAAAGGATCAGAAGAAGCGTAAACAAAGACCGGTGATTGGGGACTTGAATCCGTTGCGTGATGCTCTGCCAGAATTGACACCCCTGGAAATGCTGACGCGTGACTTGGAACAGTCACAAAAGCATGCAGCTCAGCCAAAATCCAAACGTGAGCCATCATCGAAGCGTGGGACTGCCCGTTTGAAACATATAGCGAAACAAAGGTGTTATCAAATTTAATCAGGATTTATAAGTTCTCTTTTCAATTTCCTCTTTTATTCCGTTCAGGTCTGAACAGTTGGCCACCTTCAAGGCCGTGCTGAAAAATCCTGAATTTGAGAAGAGTCCTCTGTCTGCAATATCCGAATTTTTAAGAGCTAGGAATGTTGTTCAAACATCGTGATTCGAGGGTTATTTTAATTTTTCTCACTGGGTCTAAGAATGTGGGTTCGATTTGGTCATGTTTCTATTTTTATTTCAGGCTTTAATTGCTTTCAATTAAAATCCACGTTCCTTCTTCGTGCGAAATGGAAATAATTAATGGAAAAAAGCTAGTCAAGAGGGACGGCTCAACGTTGGACGCTGAGTCTGCTCTCTCGTCAAGTTCTGTAATCGGATTCTATTTTTCTGCCCATTGGTGTCCTCCGTGCCGAGCTTTCACACCAGTCTTGGCCGATTTCTATGATGTGAGTATCCAACATAAAAATCAAAATTCGTTCAATTCATTTTCAACATTGAAAAAATTGTGTCAGGCTTTGCGTGATGCTGGGGAAGGATTCGAAATTATTTTTGTCTCGTCGGACCGAAGTGAAGCGGAAATGTTGAATTATATGAAGGATTCCCATGGTGACTGGTTCGCCGTGCCCTTCAACAGCGCCGAAGTCAGGTGAGTTTTTAAGGTGCCTCTCTGCACTTCGTGAAAGCATCGAAATTTGAATTGAATTCTCTCAGGGCCCTGAAGGAGAAGTTTCAAGTCAGTGGCATCCCATGCTTGGTTATCTTGGGAAAGAACGGACAGTTGATTACCAAAGATGGCCGTTCCGCAATAAATTCTGTTGGCCCATCGGTGATGTCGTCTTGGAAAGAAATGGCGATATAATCGTGATGCGTGTTGTCTGATCGCGTTTAAGTTACGGCTTTTAAATACTGCACCCGATATTCTTCAATTGCTTCTGCCTCGTGAAATAAATTCACTGGCGATTTCTTCGTTTTCTGGCTTGAATTGAACGCACACCTTCAAGCGGTGCTACTTTTGCTTCAGATTCAATAAATTCGGTGAGGGATGAATTCTGTCTTGATATTTTTGTATCAAGGTACAGCAGTCCGTTTCGTTTCAACATTTTCTGTATGTTTTCGTTTCTTTTTCAGGCATTATTGTGTTGAATGGATTGTCATTGGTCGAGCGTCTGGGGTGATATCCTTGCAGTGATATTGAAACTTTAATAATTGACCTTTTGACTGGTGACTGTGATCGAATTTAGAAGTGAAGTTGTGTTTTTAAAACATTTCGACGGATTAAGTTTGCATCGTTCCTGAAGTGAGTCCTTTTTGATGACTAAGTAAATCATTTTTTATTCCAATATTCTCGGTTCTCGTTAGAATTAGAACATGACTGCATTTAAGGTAGTCGTTCATTTAACTTCAGTTTCATATCAGTTACCGTTTTGGGGTTGTCATTTGTCATATTTACGAATAATGAAATCCACAAATTATTTTCAACTTTTTTTATTGATTCCGAAACCTGTTGAAGTAACAATGTAGCTGGTGGCAGAACAATTTTTAAGAAATGCTCCAAAATTGAGTTTCCTGTTTTGAGATGAATGCGGAAGAAGTAGAACTAAGTTTGCATCACCCCTAGGAATTGGACCAATGGCACGGAACTTCGGATGAACTTCAACTCTTCAAGATTTAAAATTTCCTTGTTTTAACGTTCATATCCGACTTCATTATGGAAACTGTGCAGGGATTGTATTAGGAAAGGAATTGACAAATTGTCAATGCCTCCACTTTTTTGTCCCCGCTTTTGCAGGGTGAAGAGAGAGAACTCTGAAAGCCCTGCATCGATCCTCAATCCCCACAACCCAAGACTTCAGTGTTTCCATTTTTTTCGTTTTAGGAATTTGAGGATAATTTGGCGTGAAAATAAAGTAAAAATTTTTTTTAGCGGAAGCTTCGAACTTCGAAGTCAACCATACTTGAAGAAAAATCGTTCTGGCGATTTCAGAATGGTGAATTAATTGATCAATCCAATTTTAATCTTTGATGAACCTGTGGCTACTGTAAAGAAACATTCGAAAAAGTTTCGAAAGCTAAATTTTCATAGTTCTCTGCCGAATTATTATTTTGGCAGAATATTTCTTTTTGGGCCGATATGCGCTCAAGTTAGCGAAAAATATGGGAACTGATCAAAGATAAAAATCAATCCGGGCTATCCGAGAAAAAGATTATCCCTTTCGTAGGATGCGCTGAACTCAATTACTGTATAACTATCAGTAGTACAGTACAAGCATTTGGGAACTCCGAATGAGGATGACTGGAAACTTGTGCTCATCTACATCCAAACTGATGTTTGCCATGAGAGAAGCCATTTAAAAGAAAATCACGATAGGAATTGATTTTTTAAGAAAGGAGGCAATTTCTTGAACTTTTCGGTCATAATGAAATTTCTCGCCAGTTCACGTGAAATTATGGAGGCATTCCCGCCAGTGATCTGTAAAAAAAAACTTATGTCATGATTTCCCAGGTGTGCAATACTGAGTTTACCTACGGTTGGTCGCGGTTGATTCATTCCTTTTTAAAATCAAATTCCGAACGAGCACGCAAGATGTATCATCATCCTTGTCTTTCAGAGAGAAATTAATCTTGGCAAGGGCAGAAATTAATGCTTGTTCCGAAAAGCGTGTTTCCGCATCAACGTTGCGTACCGGAAGCAAGAAATGGACGCTTCGCCAGCAACGGACGTGGTTCATCAAGCTATATTGACGCTGCATCTTGATCCCGTGTGCCAAAATAAAGAGGCTGCCAATAAATGGCTGACGGAGCTGCAGCAGTCGGTAGTAAATGATGCATTATTTTCCGATTACTTGGGAATTATGTGGGTCCTTTTTTTAGGTTTATGCTTGGAAGGTTGCTGATGATTTATTACACGAGAAACGGGATCTTCTCTCTTGCTATTTTGCTGCCCAAACTATTCGAAATAAGATTCAGGCGTCATTTGCGGAGCTACCTGTGGAGTCACATGAATCCCTGAGGATCTCTTTGTTGCAGCATATCAAGCATATTACTCCTGAAACCGATCACACAATCACGCTGCAGGTTTGCTTATTTCCAAATTTTAGTAATAAATTGAAAAATTATAACTCAAAAAAAATATTCTCGTTGATATGCCGTATTTACTCAAGTACGCGCGCACCTTTTATAGAAAATAAGAGGGGGAAAAAAGCGCACCTTTTATAGAAAATAAGAGGGGAAAAAGGTGCGCATCTTACTTCAAGTTTAAACTAATAATGTGAAGAATGGAAACAACAAGAAATTAACATCAAATTTGACTGCAATTCGAGTCCAAATTTAAATTTTGATGTGCAGTACTGTATTTCATTTTCAAAAATATTTCAATTCCGGTTTCCCAAAACAATGTGCACTTCTTAATTAGGGATACGGTTTTTTTGAAGATTTTTAGGCTGAAAAATTCAAGTACGTGTCTTACTTGAATGCTTGTGGTACTTGAGTAAATGTGGTAGGTATAGTACAGTGCATATTAAATTGACTTCTGAATTTCTGATGGTCAATTTTATTTAGAATTATAGCATGAATAAATCGTCTAGCTTTCAGTTGCCATGGCTGATTTTGCCCTTCAAATGACGAGTTGGGAAAATCCTTTATTGGATCTAATATCGATTCTTGCTGGAGATCCACCGAATCCTGATGGGCAGCATATTTACGCCCTACTGGATGTCCTCAAAGTTTTACCTGAGGAAATAACATCAAGGTTTGTGCGTATACTATTTTTTCAACTCATTTGGCATTATTCATGTATCGTTGGTCCTCTTAGACATTTGAGATTAGCCAGCGAAAGACGGGAAATCTTGCGGACCAATTTTGGCAAAATGTTCGACGCTGTCGTGAGTTTTCTGGTAAGAAATAATTCCGTTACAGCGAAAAGTTTGTTGTTTGAAGACACCCTTTTTTTTTCGAAGGTACCCTTTGTTTCGCTTGATAGACGACTATTGGATGATAAGAAATACACTGACAGCGGTGGTCATCATTCATCATCTGCCTCGACGCAGAAAGCGATGCAATGCCTGACTTCATGGTTTGAATTCGCCGTTTTGCCCACGCAGTCCATGAACTTTGAGCCTATTTTGCAGTATGCTGTTACTTGTTTGACTGATCGTTGGGTAAGTGATCCTGATGATTCGACTTATGTAATAGCGATACTTTCGAGTGAAGTGTAACGATAAATTATGTGACTACGTCGCGTTTACTTAAACACAATCTAGTTCCTGCGTATTAAAGGGATTTTGAATTCCATCGCTTCCAGACCCCGAATATGGCTCACGAAAGAGCCGTTGAATGTTTGTGTGCAGCAGTTGGAGTTTTCTATGGAATCCGAGACCATTCCGACGAGCATTATGTATTAGCTCGATGGGTTCAAGAAGCCGCCTACACGATGATTGAGCCATTCAACGTCTGCGTAGCCGAAGAAGACATCGATAAGTATGGAAAATATTTTTCCTAAATTGGCTATTCGTGGCTAAATTTGGGTTTTTTTGCTTTTAATTGCGTAGAATTTTGGGATTTGCGCGTCTATTCTCTGATCTGGCGGATGCCCTGACTTCAGCCATAATTTATTCGCCTGGCGTAGATTTGGGATCCTTACAAACGCTGGAAATACTTCTTTTGTGTGCTGGACATTTCGACCCTGAGGTGTGTTTTTTTTTCAATTCTGACCCCAACTGGTGTTGAAATTATCGAGGATACTTTTTAGGTCTGCAATGTTACCTTCAATTTCTGGTACAATTTCGCTGAAGTTGTGCATCGTCATGAAGATACGCACCTCACAGGACTTGTGAAACCTTACGTTAAAAGGTTGCTGATGGCACTTCGTCGTCTCGTCGAAATGGAACCGGACCACGTGAGTTTGCCATTTTTGTCTCACAAGTTTTTTTTTTTTTTCTAACCATTGAATTTCTTATGCTGGAGTCGTTCGTTAACGGCGGGCGTTTAATCTTTCTGCTCTCTTCAATTTAATTTTTTGAATCCTGGTTTTATTTTTCAGGAGGGAATCCTCGATGAAGATACCGACTCGTACGACTTTCGACTTCGAGTCTCGGAGTTGGTGCGAGACCTATCATGTATCGTTTCTCCTACGGAGTGTTCTGTGGAAATGTTGGGACACATGTGGCCGTGGTTAGAAACCATTCGGAAAAGAGAAATAGATGGTTCTAACCCTGATGGACGATCTGGTTGGGAATTGATCGAGGCATGTTACTTCATGATGGGAACCGTTGGTCGTTTGATTCCGGCGTACGTACTGTTTTAGTTTTTACCCCTTCAGTTTTCGAAGTTATTCAGTGTCGCGAATTGAAAATTCTCTTCAATTTTCGTTCCAGGACGGCGGAGGTTGTGGATCCAATGGTGGATTCTGTGCTCAGTTTGCCATCCAACTTCCATGTTGCTATTCGGGTTTCTGCGATTTCTCTGCTTGGGGAAATATCTCATTGTTTTGAACAGAGGGCCCATCGGGCGAACGAAATATTTTCTTTTCTACTACTGTACTTGAATGATCCGATCTGTGCTCAAGCTGCGGCGTCGTCCCTGGAAAAAGTCTCCATGGTGTTTCGAGACCTGATGGGCATTGATCATCTGGAAGTTTTATTCACTGCGTTGCGCAGTATTGACGAGAATAACACAGTTCCGCGGCATAATGTCGTGGGAGTTTTGGTGAGCATAGTATGCGTAGCCAGTCGTTTATCACCGACGGAATCCAAAGACATCCTCCGAGAAGTGGTCCGATATCATGTTGGACATCTCTCCCAGCATTGTGTAAGTTGATCATTTCGGCGCAATTTTCGGTAGCAGTATTAAATTTTTTCGGGAAAGAATTACCGTATTTACTCAAGTGCCACGCGCGCACCTTTTTTCTCAAAATTGAGAGGAAAAAAGGGGTGCGCGTCTTAGTAATAAAATTTTGGAAGTTTAGATGTGCGGTACTGTAAGTCGCATTAGAATGTGATGGGCAGTCAAGAACTTTTTGAACTCGAAACAATGGAAAATTAATTGAAGTTCAAATTCTTTTTCAAATTTGTATTCCGGTGCCTCATTTTTGATATACGTATTGTATATTTTCAGTCCCTAGAAATGGGGTGCGCGTCGTACTTGTATTCAAGTGAATACGGTATTGTGATAGAGTAGTTAATTGAATTGTGTTTTTATTACCATTTTGTGTTTAGACCGATGGTGCACCTCGTATTGCGGATCCCACAATGTGGCTGGACCGGATTGCTGTGATTGGAAGGCACATGACGTCGTCCGTTGAACCAGGAATGATTCATCCGTGTCGTGATGTCGTTATTGAAGTAAGATTTTTTAAAATTAAAAACTAGTCGGAATTCGCTTGATTTTTTAATGGTGTCATGGCAATATTTTATTTTATTTTTTCAAAGATGTGGCCTGTATTAGACGCTGTTCTGACGAAATACGCCGACGATTCTCGGATCATGGAAAGAACCTGTCGTGCTCTACGGTTTCTAATCCGTGCCGTTTCTAAGCAATGCAGTGAATTGCTGACGCCTCTCGTGCCGAAGGTCAGTTTAGCCTTTTCAAATTAATTTCAGTTTGTTTTTAAATATTTTTTATTCTATTTTTCCAGCTTGTTGAGGTGTACAATGGCAAGCGACATAGTTGTCTTTTGTATTTGGGCTCCATTCTTGTGGATGAGTTTGGTCGAGAATCTGAGTTCCAGGGTGGTCTCTTACTCATGTTGGAGGCTTTGTTGCCGTCAGCTTTGGAGCTCCTGAAAGATGCCGACTCACGCAAAATGCACCCTGATACGTTGGATGACCTTTACCGATTATGCGGGCGATTCGTTCAAAGGTTGCCTGGGCCTTTTCTTGTGTCATCGTGCTTACCTAGTGTTCTCGAAGTGGCCCTGGTCGGGGTACTTCTCGATCATAAGGACGTGATTATTGCCATTCAAAAGTTCTGGGTGGACTTCATTCGAATCGCAGGTCTACCAGAGGTGAGTTTAATTATCAATAATTTAGTGTCAATTTTTTTTTCTTGGAATGTTGGCAAAGTGTCGGTATCTCGAGACATTGTCCGGATGTTAGAGCATATTTTTGAAGTTCATGTGTCAAATCCTCCGTGTGTCGGAGCCTCACGGTAATTATATTATGCTGACCTAAAATGCTGTATATAACAATAGCACCTTGTCGCAATGCTCTGATTATATTTTTAAGTGTTGAATTGACATGGATCGTCGTACTTTTTAGCATAATTTCTGAAGACTTCAGTGTACTCAATTTTTATTTCTTGAAACCGTTTTCTCTTTTCAAAAGTCGTGGCCGTCGATTATTTCAATATGTCTTTTTATGTGGTTGGTTTCAAAAAAATTTCGTGGAGTGATGTGTATTTTATAAGAGAAAATTTTCTTTTCATGCTCTATTATCTGATTCCAGGATGAAGATTCTCCGGTGCGCCACGTTCAGCTTGCGAAAGACATTTTATTCGAAAAAGGCTGTGGAGCGCAGTTGGTGTTGAACCTCATCTTGGACGTCGTGGGCTGGAATGGCTTTGGCTATTCGAACTACTTTCTTGCAGAGTTTGCGGACGTGATTTACAGTCTTATGTCACTTGATCGAGTAAAAATGTGTCATTGGCTGGAAGCTGCTCTAAAAGACGTTGCAGTGAAGATGCAGGCTACGAACGGAAGCATCCAGATTACGCAAACGCAGCTTGTTAGCGTTCACAAAGCCATTACCAGGTTAATTTCCTTCACTTCGCTTTTTTTTACTATTGTACTAATCCCCGAAAACTGAAATATAATCTCTTTTTTTTGCAGCGCCGAAGGAATCAAGACCGTGGTACAAGGGCTGAAGAACTTGAATCGATTGTTTGCTTGACATTTGGTGATTCCTCTGGACTTTAAATGAACTAAGTTTGGTACCGTTTGTCCAACTTTCTGCTTCGTTGTTTTTTTTTTTTTTTTTCAGAGTTTGAGCATTTTGTGGAAGGCTTTTTCTCTCATTGACCATCTTTAATGCAAAAATTTTCTATAAAAAATGCTTTGCAAACTTCAAGCATTTTGGCAAATCCTTCCAATAGTCGATCAAGAAATTTAGTTCGAAAAGTTGTGGAACGCGTTGTGGACCAAATAATTTTTGCATGTTTCTAAGGTGCTTCATCTTCTTTTCCATACTTATAACACGGTTGATATTTAACGTCAGGGAGCGTCTTGATGGAAACCTGTTTAGGTTGCAGGCTGTGTGGTTGAAATTCGGACTTAGTGTTGCGTCACATTTTCATGATGTCGGGGAAGCGACGCGCGGATAATGATCTTAATCATGAGAATTGGGACAAAGAAGATCCCGCTGAAGACTCGGGGGTTTGTGTCACCCTAACGGAAGAACAACTGAGAGAACGTGGACGCAAGATTTTGAAAGCTCGTCGAAAACTCCCTGCTAGTTCAGCGTCTGTAAGTTCTACATAAATATGTCTTGATTCATTTCGTGAATATATATTTTCTTTTAAGATTTGAAAGGTCATCTTTAGTTGAATTTTAATTTCCGCAGACGGAGCAGAAAGATGGTGGAGAGAAGCCAAATTTGTTCGCGAGTTTCTCAGGATTTGGGAAACCGTCCACTGCTCCAGCATCGTCGCCATTTGGAAGTTTTGGTTCCTCTGCAATGCCAGCCAAGACTACAGAAGCTAGCCCTTTCTCATTTCTTTCAGGAGCGTCCAAACCTGCGGCAACGGCGCCACCTGCCGTAGCAGCTGCTCCAAAGATAGATTTCGCCGCCATAGCGTCTGCTGTGTCGAGCGTTAAAAGTAAATCTGCTGTTAACGTAACAGATATCCCCGCAGATGAAGCCGCTGAAAAGGATAAAGCGGAGAAATATTCAAAAATTGTTGTCCCGACATCCAAAGTAACCCTCAACGGAACCGGGGTCGAGAAGAATTCCTACGTTGAAGCGATAAAGAAGCTGAATGAGGATTTTGTATGGAAAATTATGGATACTGTTGGAATTTCTAGTGGTGTGAAAGAAATTTTGACGAGGAAGCAAATTCACGACCTCCTTAGCAAAGACGGGCAATGCAAGATCCTGACGCCTTGCTTTGCTTCGTATAATAAGCACTTGGAGGAAATTGAACTGAAGCATAAATCCTTCGCAATAGTATTCAAAGATAAAATATCAGGTAGTGGAAATGGTATTGGAGTTCTTGGAGATGAACCCAACGAACAACTGAAAGCATCTATAAAGTAAGTATTCATTTTTATCTAAAGTCGTAAATAATATTTCGACTGTAGACGTACATTACTATTTTTAATGGCAGGGAAGTTTCGTGAGTCTTAAGCTTTCCGCGATGTTAGAATTCTATAATTTTATCTTATCTTCGTTTGTTCGTCGTTCCGGATTCAACGATTTATTGCAGAAAAACGATCAGATTTTTTTCTGTTAATTCTATTACAGACAGTTTTCTAATGTTTCGAAGAACCTCCGAGATATTGTATCACTCACCCAAAGCTTGATTTTTTTCTCGATCCCTCTCTTTTTTTATCGCCTTTTCAGAAATTCTGGAAATCTAAAAAGAGAGAAGGAAAATCAGGCCGCAGGTGAAATCGAATTTTCTTCTCGATTTTACTCTCCATTATCTTTAGGTCAATGTGAGATTAATTTGAACCTCAATTTCTGGTGATTTAAGTGTCTTTGAAACTTTGAAAGTTCTTTGAGATGTAAACTTGTTTTGGTAAATACAGTACTGTATTTCAGATAGGCCGATCGTAAAATAATTACAAGTTGGAGGATTATAAAAAAGCTCCGCGTGAGTTGGAAATTATTCCCACACAAACTGGAGCCAAGGAATCTTTTTCACGACATGGCTTTGAAGGAGTGATAACCGGCAGTTCCATTTCTAATTTTATAAATCCGTATCAAACCCAGGAAATTTTGATTTTAAATTTTGTGTTTTTATTTGTTTCTTCGAATCCGTAGAGGAGGGGTTGTGGATAATCCATCTCGCGATATCGAACCTGTTCGACAGACTGAGTCTGTATCACAGATGGCAAAAATTTCCACGCTTGGACCAGCCGTTAGCAATGCGATTGCGGAAGCGAAAATTTCAGATTCTGCGTCGTTCGGAACCGTTGCGCAGAAATCTGTCACGCCAAATATAAGTGCAGCATTTTCCATGCTACCGTCGTCGTACGTTCACTCTGGCACCGTTTCCACATCGACGTCGTCGTTCAGCTTTGCGAAGGCGTCCGGGCCGACTACGTCTCAGTCGTCTGACACCTCGCAGAAACCGCTATTTTCATTCTTGAATCCATCGGCTAATGCCGAGAAAGGTAGTGGTTTTAGTTCAGGAGGCAGCAAAGAAGTAGCTGTGACGACGACCAGTTTCTCTTTTGGAAAGTCGCCGGCGGAAAAAGAACCGACTTCCTTTTGGAAAACGACGGAAAGTTCCGGTGCCGAGTCAGGAAAAGGGTTCGCTTTTGGCAAACCGAGTAAGATTCTTATTCTTCTTTTGTGCGTACATTTTTAGCAAATTCGATTGCTATCCTAGCTGTCTTGCTAAGACATTTATTGTAGCTTTATTTCTTGCAGGAGACTTCTTCGTATATATTTTCCATAAAATTGTGTCGTTCCCGTTATTAACGCACTTCACATGATCGCAGCAATGTTCTCTGTGTAATTTTTTCTGGTCCCGAAAAACATGTGTATTTTTACAAGTTGAAAATCTCACTTTATTTATTATTTTACAAATTTTACCAGAACTGAGAAACAAGCGGCTGATGAACGCATGCAAGTCAGTTGGAATCAGGTCCTAAGAAACATGTCGTCAATGACAAATTAGTTTGAGAGAGCAATAAATTATTCTCATGCTTGAGAAATTAGAATATTTTTCATATCACGGATCTCTTGAAAAATTCAGCATTTCTCTGCGATTTCATAATTATTCTGAACATTTGCATCCTTCACTGTGAGCAAGCAAGGGTTACAATATTATTTTATTAAAATATTTTTGCAGCATGCACAACGGTGTAATTATACATTATACGGTTATTCAACTGTATATTTTTTCTGAAATCCTTCGAGTTTTTACGGCGTTTCGAAATTCTAGGTTTTGCTTTTGGGAAGTCCGAGGAAAAAAGTCCGGATGTTGAGAAGACTGTTGAGAAAACAACCGCGTCTGATGCAACGAAATCAACCTTTTCATTTGGCTTGGGCGCCTCGCCATTTTCCTTTGGCAGCAATGCTTCTGGCGGCGAAGGGCTGAAGATGGGCTTTCCTTCGACTGGCTTTTCCTTTGGTTCAAGTGCGACGAGTAGTACGTCAGCCTCCACTTTTAGCAGCGGGAACCCACCGCTTTTTAATTTTGGGTAAGTTTTCAAAGTTCAAAGTCCGAAGTTGAAGCATGCTTAGAAATTTCCTGGTGCTTAGAATTATAGAGTAAAAGCTCGCCGATTTTTAAATAACGATATCGTCGACGTCTATTGTATGGTACTGTATATTAATATTTTCATTTTCTGAATTAGCATTTAAGAGAGTAATTTTGAAAGGGATAAACCCAAAAAAAAAATCTTAGTAGTATCTTTTAACAGCGGTAATTGAGATAAAAAGTTGTAAGCCGTATTATGAAAAAGTGCTATAACTGTCTCGCTTGGGTTCTTTTTAAAATTATGCGTTTCTAATCGTGTTTGCTGGTCACACGAATGCAATTAAAAAGCATAAATTACAACATCGTGATAGTTAAAAGCTTTCGGGAGATTTTGCTCTTCGGGAATCTGTCTATTTTTTCACCCTGTTCAGGATTATTGTAATGAATTAAATCAATCAATTCAAATGCCATAGAAAAATTTTGGTAATCATTTATATTTGTGGGCTCTGGTATATTTATCGAATTGCGAATTCATTTTTTCAATTTTCCTGCGCTTTTCCAACAAACCTTCGGAAAGATGGCTGAATTGTCTATAAATTTGGCATCTAGATCCACGTTGAAAACGAATTTTGCTGCCACTGCTCCGCCTGCTGCTGGCGCGGAAGGAGGTACCGGAAACAATGAAGAGGAAGAGTATACACCACCTGTTGCTGAAGCGAAAGACGTAGAAGAAGAGGGCTCTTTCTTCAAGACGAAGTTCGTAGCAAATATCCGAAAACTTTTTTCCTCAAAATATATTATACTGCTTTTTTTAGGACGAAATTTTTCTACAAGGTTGATGGAGAATTCAAGCCGAAGGGGGTGGGAACCTTGTTCCTAAAGAAACTCGAGTCTGGCCAGGTGCAAGTTCTCGTGCGAACGGAAGTCGTTGGCAATACTATCGTATTTAACGTCATTCTGACTAAAGGTCAACGCGTGCAGCGACTCCAGAAGAACAACGTGTTGTTTATTTGCGTCGCGAATCCGCCTCATGACCCGAAAGTACCGACGGAATCGTTCACCCCTGTGCTGTTCAGAACCGGCAGCCCTGCTTCAGCAGACGAGCTGTTTAAGGAATTTGAGAAAGCGATTGAAGAAGTCTCCAAATAACTCATCCCTCGTTTCGGAAGGCGTGAATTGATTGATTTGATTTTTTTTTATATCGTTGCGCGTTTGTGCGGTTTTGGCTTCTGGTTATTTTTCCGAATGACAATAATTTTTTTTTTTTCGTGTTTCTGTTCGGCTTGCCGGACGAGTTCACCGTTTCGCGATTACTGTACTGTAATTTCAGATATCTGTGGCTGATTCCTTCTGTATGCTTTTGGACGCTTGCGTTGAAGTCAATTGAGATTTTGAAATAAACGCGTGATTCCGATGTACAGAATCATTGAAGCTTGGAATGCAGCGTATTCCGGATGGTATCCGTTTCCTGATTACATGGGAATCATATTAAGGAAAAATGTAGCGTGGACTGGAGTCGGTGTGCTCTATCTCTTTGACGAGACTTTTTGCTGGCACGTTTTTATTTTTGTTCAGCAAGTTGTTGGTAATTTCGATGTTCTGAATTGTTTGATCAACAGAAATCTATTCGATTCAAGATTCTTAAATTTGTTTGTACTGTAACTGGTGATTTCTCTCAAGGTGTATATGAAGTAAATAAATGTGCTGCAGTGCATATTTCGATTTCCAAATCTGTTCGAAATGACCCTTACAGGAATTTTTAAAGGCTGATAAAATGTATAACGACGATCCTGAACAAAACTTCGCTGAGAAACGCGATTATGTCCCGAGTATCCAAACATTTAATTCGGATACAGTTCTAGTTGAAGTTATTCCTTGTTTTTGGTTTGTGACGATCTTACACTCCTATTGTACTTTCAGCCGAATGCATGTGCGGTATCACCTCGAACTTTTTAGAAATCGCAGTCTGGAAGCGTATCTATTTAGCTTGGCTAAAATTGTTGGCAGTTAACAATCAGTACAGATATACGCTTTCTGGATTTCAGCTTGAAGTATCCCGTAGGAAGTTTCGCGGATCAATTGTTGAAATGGCTGGCATCAAGGCTTCTAGAAGCGCCGTGGGTTTCTTCCTTTTATATAACGGAAAATAAAGGTGGACAACATTTTTGGATTTTGATTTCCTGGAGAACAGTAGTTGTTTAAGCGCATCTGAGAAAATGTTTCTCTTTTGACCGATATTGGCGCTCTCCTATATGAATGGCAACAGCAAACGCATCACACGATTTAATCACCAAGGCAGACCTCGTTAGTGAACTTCCATCAAACTGACGCCTCAACTACTGTTGAAATTTGCAAGATCTTTGTCCTGCTGGATGCGTCATCGTGTCATTCTGAGGAAGAGCCGCATGAAGCATATCGCAGCAGCTGTGATTTTCATGAATCAGAATTAAATATTCATGCGGTTTTCCTATAGAAATTTTAAAAAAAATTTCCATAGGGTTGAACGACAGCAGAAAGAAACTCCCTCGAATGACGATAAAGTTGACGAGCAATTTATGTCGACGAATGACCGCACCTTGAACCATCGATTACACATGACGGCGGCTATATCGCCATTACTGAACGGGTCGTCGTCATGCAGTGTTAAGACTGCAGTTGCGTGACTTCTGGAAAATCTGTATACTGAACAATACCATGGTGTCAAGAATTGGCTACCAGCATCAGCTGATCTTGGACGACGGAGTGCGTCCGATGTACGTATATCTAAACGTGATATTTTTTCATCGGGCTCTTTTCATACACGCATAATAAAACTTTCGTTAAATTTGATAAGTGAAATCGTATTGAAGTAAAAAGTGATTTGATAACGTGGTCAAGCAGTGCGTCATGCTAAGTTGACACAGTACTGACTATACTGTATATAGGAAGCATATGCAGCAGCTGCTGGAAGCCCTTAAAATTCCGTGTGTTACACATGCATTTCTGTCTGTTTTAAGAGTGTTTTTGTCAGAACCGAACCGCGCAATCACGAGAAATTCCTGAGGTGCTCAGCTAATAAGATGAATTGTTGCGAACCACTCAACCATATTCAGCTAACCATCATACATGATGTATTCATATTCATCTCCAATCAAACTCCGAAATCTCAACTTCATGAAATCATCTCGGCTTCGAAATACTGTGTAAGAGGTGACAGTTCAGTCAGCATATTATTGATGCGTATCATCTTCGGCAAGAAAACTCAGAAGGGGTGTTTTCTATCTATAATGACACATTGACATTCTTGGATGGATGGAAACAAAATTGATGCGTCATTTCCCTGCTGAAAGAAAGTATGATGACACATCACTGACCCGTCATTTTTCTACGTGAAATAATTCATCATGCGATGATGCGATTTTCTTGTTGTATGCTATTATCTTAAGCAAATGATCCATCATATCAGCGTCCTCTCTGCTGAAGCTATAATTCTGATTGTGGAATATCCACAATCACAATCTCCGTTCTTCTTTATGAAATTTATGAATCATGATTTATTATACTCAATTGTCCAGTTAGTTGATCTCTCAGAGATGAAACTTTTTATCGCCAAGAAACTTGAAGCTTGGAACATTCATACGGTATGTTGAGCATAAAGAACTTCTCGTCCCAACAAGATAATGCCGAGCAGCATGGTTCAACAGAAATCCTCATCGATCAGTGATGAGTATCTGTGTAGCTGCGCTGATCAGCATGCATTAGACTCGACTTCGACGAATGTATTATTGATATTTCAAACCGCCGGAAGGATTAATGCGGTGAATACAACATGCATGGTCGCACATCGAAATTAGTTGCCGAACTGCTTGCCAAATATTTCACATCTCATCAGAAGTGCGCGTACAATCGAAGGCGAAAAAATATGACTCTGTTCGACTTTCATTGTTCCTTACTTCGTGTTTTTGTTGCGTGACGCGTTAATCGAAATTAATAAACTGTCACCATGCTTGTGATTAGCAACAGGACGATGCTGCTTTTTGCACTCTCGGTTGTCACAACATGGATTACTATGATGTTCAGGGCAATTTCGGACCACCGAAACGAAGGCTGGGCGATTGAGGTTCAAATGCCGGATAACACTCGGTATTACGGATTGGCGAAGTCGACGACGCCAACCCGATTTCCTCGAATTTCAAAATGGTGATACTGTATAAAGTATACTCTTCTACACACCGAATACTGTCACGATCCTCTTCACTTCATGATCATACGTGAAGTGCCGATTCTCATTAGTCTGCAGCTGAAATCTATTCATCCAGCACTTCTCATGTTTCTCTGAGTAGATGACATTCATATAGCTCGCTGTAATTCATAACAGGGGGATTTATGCAATACAATTCACACAGGACCGGAAAAGAATTCGTTGTTGTGAACCATTATAACATTACTGGTAGACGAAAACCCTGTGGGTTGAAAAAAATTGTTATTCGGAGGAAAGTGTTTTAGAGAGTGCATCACGTCTGACGAAATCTGTAAGGTTTCTTACTTCCTGAAACTTTGATCACATCTGAACATCTGTAGAATCCTTATTTCACGACATGAATTCACGATGATCATCTGTATTTGCTCGCAGGTTCAAGCATGTGAACACTTACTATCACAGTAAAACCAAGGACGTCACTTCCTTCCTGATAAATGCAACTTCTGAGCTGAAATCCAGAGGTATCGTATGAAACGAAATATGACTCTGAATACTACATATTTTTCTTTTTTTACCAAAAAAAAGTGTCTGCTTTTGAAACTATATGAACGTGAAATTTTACATATATTGTAGACTTGTAGAGCATTTGCTGTAGTGAACTATATAGTGACTTGTAAATCCGATTTAACTTTTTCTGGTCCCCGCCACGTTATGAATGATTCAAATTATTTCAGACCCTCACAGAACAACCGTTAGAACTTGAAAACTGCGCACAGCAGTTGAACCTCTTTCAGTCAAATTAAAAGGAACTAGCAAACCAATCAACTTATGGAAGTTTTGAGCTTGAGTTTGGGAAACAACCATTTTTGCCTTGAAAATGAAAGGAGTAGAGGAAATTGACATTATCGATATTTTTGCCTCAAAACTGTTCAGCGAAGTTGACAGGATGCTGAACTTGGAGGTCGAAGTTAATTTGTCCATGATTCTCAACTACTTTCCTAAAAAATTCTCATTGCGAAATTACGGGTTATTTTCTTGAGCGCCAATTGTGTACGATAGATATATGCATATTCTAATTTTATTTTCGTTTTCAACTTCTCTATATAGTGGAGCCGCCAATGTGCAAAGTATTAAGCAACGAATATTGCCGCAAGTACTCCTCGAAACACACCATGTGCCGGTTTCCAGAACCAGGAGCAGTACCAGCTTTCCTAGGTGAAAGGGGACAGTGTAAAGCTAGGTTATACGCTGGGATGGATCCGGGTTTGACCAAACTCATTGTTCACTGGCACAATGTCATGAGAAACATGGTGGCATCTGGGGCAGAATCACGAGGAAACCCAGGTCCACAACCACCAGCAGCAGATATGATGCGATTGGTTAGTTTTGGTACAGTTGGATCTTGATAGCTCAAAACACCTCAAATGTCATACTGTACCTCTTAACATAAAATTTTTCGAAGTCAATGGCTGAATTCCTTCATAAAAACAATTAATGGATAGAAAATCTCCCTAACTCAGAGAGGTTTCCCCCTCAAACCTCCATAACTCAAATTTTCAAGAGTCCTTTCAGCTTTTTCTTTATTGACGCCGGCAAGAGAAAAGCAATAAAAGTGAAACTTGATGTGTTTTGAACAAAAGTGAGAATAATTAGGCTATTGAACCCTGCAGGGTCAGCTTCTTTTTAACTAGAAATTTAATGCCCATGTAGACTATAATCAATTACCATTTCACCCAATTCTTTCTTTCTTCATCCCAACAAAAATGCTTTTTGCCCCACCTGGAAACTAAGGTCAAGTTATTTTTTTCTGGTCCCTTGAAGTTTGAGGAGGTTCAACTGTAATGAGATGGCTATTTATGTAATACAATACTTCAGTCCGACTCCCCTGAGAAATCCTGACCGGAAATTGTATTCATCCTGCAGAGAAGCATCCGTCCTATTATATATATGCAAAATATATTAACTTCAGCCGTTCTTGGAGAATTTTTCATCATTTCCTTTTACTGTATACAATCACTTCTTGTTTCCTTCTAAGGAATGGAATAACGAATTAGCGTTAATTGCGCAACGGTGGGCTGAAAATTGCTACAACTCATCAGAACCGCATGATCGAGACAGACGTCTTCTTTCTCATGACTGGTCAAAAGTGAGCCAAAATGTGTTTTGGAGCTTCAACGAATCACTGGACGCATTCGGAGATGACTCCAAACTTTGGCAAAGAGTCATTCAGGTCTGGATGGACGAAGTTGAAGACTTCAGTAACATTCAAGTCGGAAACTTCCAGTAAGTGCGATGAGCATACATCATATTGTACCAAACGAAAATCAACCACCATACCACAATACCTGTCATCTAATACAAAGATTGACAGTATTATAGAGACGTCCTCTGAAAATGGAAGACAACATTTTTCTCCGCACTGAAAATTACCACTCATGTCAGACGTGACAGAAGCATTATTCGTGCTAACTCGGTTGCGCTGTACTGTACACATAATATAAAAAAAAATGTCCTGGCAATAATTTGCCCTATATGACGCACAATTTTTTTTCCTTGTCGTGAACAGACGCAATCCAGGAACAGGACATTATACGACTGTCGTGTGGAGCCAAACCACCGCAGTTGGTTGTGGTCAAGGCATTTTCATATGTACTAATCCCAGAACTAACAAATACGGCTACTGCTTCAAATTCGTGTGCAATTACGGACCCGGGTAATTATAAAGGTTCAACTATTCGTGATCACGCAATTCATGTACCGGCGTGTGCTTATATATACTTATAGGGGAAACCTGCCTGGGAAAGCGATCTACCACGATGGCGAACCAGGATCGAGATGTCCACAGGACAAGTCAACTTTGTATCCGAATTTATGTTCAATAAATTCATGATAAATGTTTCTTCCTTTTCGTAATCGATTAATCCCGAAAATTTGTCTTGATTATTGCAAGCCGGATAATCTTTCAACAAGAGGTTTATCTTCAATTGTTCTGCCGTTCTTGCAGCTGAGCTGCACAATCATTTTACATGAGTCCAAGATTTCTGATACATTATAGTTATCCGAAGATTTCCATTTTAAATTCATTGAAAAAATTTAGTGACGAAGGATTACCAAGTATATATTAGACTGTGGTGCCCAACTCAGAAGTGGCCAAGGGCCACATTAAAGTAGAAGAGCATTATGCGGGCCACAATGGAAAAAAAGGAAGAAATGTTGTCCAGTACATTGTATAATTAATGCATGAATTTCTGGGATGGTTTAACTTTAAACTATTCTAATTTATAAGCAATCAAGTTCTATTCTATAATCAAGTTCAATAAGTATCTCAAGATTTTCATTATCTGGCTATCTGACTTTTTTCATCTACAAACTTTTCTGCTTCATTTTTACTGTCACAGTTCAACTTGTATCTTCATTACTTCATGACTGGATTTTTCTTAATGGAATCATAGAATTCAATCTGCAAAAATTTTCAAATAGATTCAACCAACGTCCAAAAGCAATAAGTAACTGAAAATTATGAGTGAATTTAAATGTTGAGAATAATTTTGGCTGAAACAAAAATAAAAGCCTATGTTTCAGAAAGTAACTAATGTGGAGAAAATATTGTGTCTATATACAATAAGTATCTCAAGATTTTCATTATCTGGCTATCTGACTTTTTTCATCTACAAACTTTTATGCTTCATTTTTACTGTTACAGTTCAACTTGTATCTTCATTACTTCATGACTGGATTTTTCTTCATGGAATCATAGAATTCAATCTGAAAAACTTTTCAAATAGATTCAACCGAAGTCCAAAAGCAATAAGTAACTGAAAATTATGAGTAAATTTAAATGTTGAGAATAATTTTGGCTGAAACAAAAATAAAAGCCTATGTTTCAGAAAGTAACTAGTGTGGAGAAAATATTGTGTCTATTTAATGATTTTACAGAATGCATAGCCTTTCTTAAGAATTTTAAAAATAGGTCTTTATGCAAAGAAGCATTCATTCAACCTCTCAACACATGAAATGTTCATGGCCTTTTTGGGAAAGTCAAAACCAAGATATGTGTCTGGCATAAAGTTTAGGCAATAGTGGGGGATTTTTCATGAGGTTTTTGTCAATCACTAAGCCCGTTAAATTCACATTTGAATCTAGGATAAATCCAGACTGGCATTTGGAAACAGGGCCAATTTGAGACATACATTTTTGGAGAGAGGGAAAATTTGAGACAGAAACTTTTGGAGGCAGGGATAATTCAAGGCAGAGGCATTTTGAGGCAGAAAGAATATGAGACATTCTGAGATAGAAGGATTTTCAAAAAGATGCTTCTGTGTTTCTCCCTGAAATCTAATATTAAAGATGTGAAAGTGAACAAAAATGGCACTGCTTGATCAAGAAGTGACATGAATGAACATCCCATGAGCATAGCCAGACATTTTTTTAGGTGCTTTAAAGCACCAACTTTGTCTTTCCTCCCTTCCTCTATTGGCCCATGGTTATACATTGTAATACACCTAAAATCATACCAGAACACAATAAATCCATGGCACACAACTAATAGAAGGAATGTGTATAGCTAAGCATTTTGAATATTTTGCTTCAAAAGCACAACATCTGCAAACTGAATAATGCTAAAGCCAAAAAAGTAAATCAAGTGCAATATAAAAAATGTGGTGTACAGAGTTGAGGAGGGGTGGGGGATCTTAGGACAACCTGAAATTTTAGTGCAATTAAAAACTCCTCAAGATTCACTGAGAATCTGGAGAAAACCAGAAAATAAGTGTATATAAGAAAGACACATATTTTGTGCAAAGTTGCTTTGGGAGAGCATCAAATTGTCTTTGTATCTAAATGTCCATGTCTCCAAGTGTCCCTGTCACTAAATCACCCTGGCTCAAATTGGCCCGCTTTCTCAAATTGGCCCTGTCTCACATTGACCCTGACTCAAATTTTTCATCTCAATTGGCCCAGTCTTTCTAAATTACATGTCTCCAAGTGTCCCTGTCACTAAATCACCCTGGCTCAAATTGGCCCGCTGTCTCAAATACCGGGACAGAGTGTAACTGGGACTGAGTTTAAAAAGTAGAGTTAACCGGGTCAGAAAGATTTAAACAGGTATAGGGAAGTGTAAACGTAAAAAACGTAAAAATGAAAACAAGTACGATAATTTTTTGTAAGCTGCTGTATATCTTTCAAGATATGCAATTAAATTAAAAACATTACAGAAAATGCTGGGGTAGGATTTGAATTACAAAATTGCAAAACCCTATCCTTTAATCTGAAAAGCAGAATGACTGACATCACAAAGCAATGCAAACTGTTCTTTCTGGTTAGAAGGAATCATAACAGAATTTATGAAGCCCAAATAAAATTCATCATCAAAATTGCAGGCTGAAGACATCTTGAAAAACTAGGAATTTTTCCTTTTTGAAGGTTTTAATTTTTTGTGGAGATTTTCCGTGCTGCTTCCGCGGGCCAGATGAAAAGCCTCCGCGGGACAGATCTGGCCCGCGGGCCGTATCTTGGGCACCCCTGAGTTACAGCATTAAATCAGGGCTTTATTAAGATTATCCCTATTCCATGATTAAAATTTTACCGTTTTGATTTTATAAATTTCTTCCATGGACAACGTAATGGACAGATGAATGTGCATAAATTGCTTCCATGATATTTTTTTGTCACAGATCCACTCACGAATTTTCCATCGCAATCATTGACACACATTTTAAAAACGCAGCTAATCAAAATGGGCGCCACAAATGCAGATGAAGCGATAAAGGCGGTCCTTCTCTCGAGTTGTCTACTTGATTATCATTCCTTGTTTTTTTTTTCAATTAAATGGAAGGAAACGACAGCCAAGAGAGAATTACCCTGTCATGTAATAGAAAGATCTGGCTACAAAATTTTACAGTGTAATATATTCCAGAATTTTACAAACACACCTCCGGGAAATCAGCGCCAAAAAATGCAGATTAAGTTACACAATATAGTACAGAATTAAACAAGCGCTTCATTTTCATTGCTATACCTTTATGACATCACAAAGCAATGCAAACTGTTCTTTCTGGTTAGAAGGAATCATAACAGAATTTATGAAGCCCAAATAAAATTCCTAATCAAAATTGCAGGCTGAAGACATCTTGAAAAACTTGGAATTTTTACTTTTTGAAGGTTTTAATATTTTGTGGAGATTTTCCATGCTGCCTCTGCGGGCCAGATGAAAAGCCTCCACGGGACAGATCTGGCCCGCGGGCCATATCTTGGGCACCCCTGTTAGAGTTTCCCGTTTAAGTACCAAATCAATGCGGCATATTAATCTACAGAGACCATCTTAATTGATGCCCAGTGGAAAAAAAGTTGGGAATCCGGCGCCAAGTAAAGCAGCACGCATCAATCTTTTCTTCAACTCAAAATCCAACTGTACGCGTCTAATGTTCAAGAAAGACACTTGGGAATCACTCGTATATAAATTTAGATAGCTTCATTTCCATCTACTAAATACGCTTCAAACAATATGTGAACGTAACGCTCAAAAAAATTTGCTCCCAACACATCAGTATACTCGTAAAGAGAGAAACGCGATCAACATTGCAGCATGACAACACACGTCATCGTGGGTTTTAACTTTTGCAAACCCAAAATGTCGGCTGTTTGGCATTGACTCACTGGCGCTGGATCCTCTGACGTAGATGTAGATCTAACAATTAACACAATGGACAGGGCTGATCCAATACCATGCGTCCATGCCACTCATTTCTCCACTTCCTGATGCAACTGATTTGAACAACATAGCCCCAAAATTAGGCAGATTAATTTTCTGAAGAAAAAGCTACTCAATCAACATACTCATTATAACCGGTTAACCGCAGACATCTGTGGTGTCCCTGCAATAGAGTGGGAGCAATGTACTGAAGTCAATATGCACACGGTCTTCTGACGCACGAATGTACAGTACAGTACAGTAATACTGTACAGTATGTACCAGTTCGCGCTTGCCGGTTAATGCTGGCGTGTCCTTACGAAATACACCGAAGTTTCTCCGCGTGGCCTAGTCTGCGTTTTACAGTGATCGCAGGTGTTCAAATGACGGCGTGTAGTGTGACGTTCTGGAATCGATCATTCGACTGTGCTTCGCGTTAGAAAGCCAACGCTGGTGCTAACAAGGTTTTTTTTTAAGCGAAGAACGGAATATGTGTGATCGTAATGCCTTACTTGCAGGTGTTCCCCGTTTCTATTTAGGTTGCCTTCAAAATGAAATCGATTTTTTTGTCAGCGTGTGCAATCTACGCGCTATTCACTTCTGTTAGGAGTGTAGAACAAGATGTTGTCGTTCTTGATGATGCGAACTTTGACTTCCGCACAAAAGAAATGGATACAGTTCTCGTCATGTTCTATGCGCCATGGTGAGTGTAAAACGTTGTGATTGTTACGAAGGGGAATACAACTGGCGGATCATTCAGGTGCGGTCACTGCAAGAGCTTGAAACCTGAGTATGAGAAGGCTGCTGAAACTTTGAAAGCTGATGAGCCAGCTATTCATTTAGCGAAGGTCGACTGTACGGAAGCAGGGAAGGACACTTGTTCACGCTTCGGAGTAAGTGGCTATCCAACTCTCAAGATTTTCCGCGGGGGAGAATTTTCACAGGAATACAATGGACCTAGAGAGCACAGTAAGATCTTTTGGTTTGGAAATAGAAAAGACTAACACGCAAGTAATGAGCTTTTCGTTTCTTTCAGTGGGCATCGTGAAATATATGCGTGCTCAAGTCGGCCCCGCCGCCAAGCCCATTGAATCAATTGAAGCGCTGACAAAGTATTTGAACAATGACGATGGCTGCATTATCGGCTATTTCGATTCTGATTCTTCGCTCAAGTCAGCGTTCGAAAAGACAGCAGATAAGCTTCGAGAAACATTTCGATTTGGCCTGGTAACCAAGGAGGATGTCATCAAGTCGAAAGGCGTTGCCAGGTAAGACCTTTTTGAATTCTGCTGTGTATGATCATATCACTTAATTTAGATTTATTTTCAGTGGATCCATCGTTCTTCATCGTCCAAAGCGACTAGTGAACAAATTTGAATCAGCGGACGTCGTTTATTCTGGTGAAGCCGACAAGTCAAAGATTGAATCTTGGATTCAAGACGAGTACCATGGATTGGTGGGCCACCGCACGCAAGACAACTCGAACCAGTTCACGAAGCCTCTCGTCGTTGCTTACTACAGTGTTGACTATGTAAAGAACCCTAAGGGCACCAACTATTGGCGTAATCGGGTATTGTCTGTTGCTAAAGACTTCGAGTCAATCAATTTTGGTGTGGCTTCGACTGATGACTTCCAACACGAGTTGAATGAATTCGGCATTGAGTTTGCGAAAGGAGACAAACCCATCATTGCTGGCTGGAATGAGAAGTCTGAAAAGTTCGTCATGGATGGTGAATTCAGGTGAGAATCTGCATTTCTCATATCGCGTCCTCGAAGGTTTAAAAGGAATAATTCAGGTTTTTCACGATGTTGATTTATAGTGAAGAATATATCATCGTATCGATACAATTTCAAATTCCAGCTGGTCAAATGCAACCTTAAATCAAAAAAACTACCAATGCTTCTGAACGAAATGATGCTGAACATAATACTGTACGCAAGTTTTGTAATTACAATCGCATATGCATCGCAGAATTGAACTCCGGTTGTTCATGCGTAAATTGTGTTTTTATTGATTGCTTAAGCATCGAAAAGTTGAGGGAATGGGCTCATAAGCTTGTGGATGGCGTTCTGGAGCCCTACATGAAATCCGAACCCGTTCCTGAGGACAACACCAAGCCCCTGAAAGTAGCCGTAGGGAAAAACTTCCAGGAAGTCGTTATTGACAATGGATTGGATACATTGATCGAGTTCTACGCTCCATGGTGCGGCCATTGCAAGAAACTCACTCCAATTTATGAGGAACTTGCGGAAAAGGTATGTTTTTTCTTGTTTTAATGCAATTCGTCTGAATTTGAGGTTGATTCACTTGTTTCTATAGTTGAAGGACGAGAAGGTGGCAATCGTGAAGATGGATGCTACTGCCAATGATGTCCCCGCCCCCTTTGATGTTCACGGTTTCCCAACTATTTATTGGGCCCCGAAGAACGCCAAGGACAAGCCTGTCAAGTATCAGGGAGGACGGGAACTGAGCGACTTCATTGAATACATTGCTCAGCACTCGACTGACGGATTGTCCAAATCAAAGGACGAATTGTAGGCCAGAAGGAATACCGTTGTACCTGTTCTTTCACGCATTCCTCTGATGGACTGTCCAAATCAACGGACAAGCTTTAGGCCATCGGGAATGAGGCTGTACCTGTTGATATGTTGCAATTCTTTCGCGGTTGTTTTATGAATTAAGTTTTCTTGCGCAAGGATGTCTTGCCGACGTGTCTTGGCATTACTCTCAAGTTTTCAAGTTTTCTTTTCCTTGAAGGGCTTGTTTACGTTGAGAAAATTGTTACATTGGCTTGTGATGCTCATTGATTCATGATTCTAAATCGGAAAGGTTCTCGTGTGTTGAAAGAATACTCCTGATTTCTATGAGTTTTGTGGATTTCAGAACGCTATACTGCTGGCTCCTTCCGTGCTGATGCCGTGAAATTTATATGAAAGTCCAGGATTTCTTTTTCTCAGAGCGCATACCCAATTGAGAATGTTTGAAGATGTAGGTGATGTTTAATTTTTCCCCTTTCCATTTCCAAACACCTCTTGGCTGGGACAAAACTTCGAAGAGATTGCGACGGAGGTTCTCTTCATAAATCTTTTGTTTTTTGGGCGATTAGGTTGCACGTTGGGGATCCCATTGTCCAAGCACAACTGTGATCTGATTTTTTTCATGAAATGCTATCCACTTCTGAATTTTTTTTGTTTTGTTGAACAAGAAAGGCATCATCGCGAACTCAATCCTTCGGTGATTTTTTCCAATTACTGTATTTCTTCAACGTGATTGTATCACGCAGTTCCTGAATTTTCATGTCGGGATGCACAGTCTATGATTCATTTTTTCCGCTGAAATATTATATGAACTGTTCGTTGAGTTTTCAGTGATTCATTTGATGGTTTATTTCAGTGTGCGCTTGATCAAGATTAGTTTATCTTTACATTTGCGGTTCAGATGGTTAATCGGTGATTATCTGGTTTAGTTTTACGCAATGGATGAGCAGTCCTCAATTACAGAGCCAGGTAAAATTTTAAAAGTCCGAGTTATTGTGTCATGTTCTAAGATCGAAATTCTCCTCCAGTTCTCAACTTCGTGAGTCAGAATGGCTGGGCTCTACTTTTCATATCTTTGGCAATCTGGTACGTCTGGACTTTTTTGGTCAGTCCCAAGTACTATTCCTGGTTGAGACGTCGAGAGGATCGGGAATGGGAAGCAAGACTTCATCGCGGTTCGGATTTCTTAACTTTTTTGTCTGATTGTCACAGGTTTTGAGACGTGAATTTTCTGGCTTTTCGCAGATCCCGATGTGGTGGTCAGAAGGCAGGAAGAAATGGAAGCCGCCCGACAGCGGCTTCAGGCGCAATATGACGAACGTGCTCGCGTTCATGCTGAGCGGATGAAAGAGGTGCGTTCCGCTTTTTCACGCGGTTTAAAGTTCTTCCGCCGAAGTTGATTTTGAGGATTTTTTCCGCTTCTGTTCTAGTTTCTCAGTCTGAGTACTGTACATTTACTGCAATTTACCATGAATTGAAAAAATTTCGTGCGTGGGGCGAGAATCGTCCGTCACGAAAAAAGCTTCTGTATCCGTTTTTCTGAATTCGGAATGCACACACCCTGCGCATTCTAAAAATATTTTCTTTGAATACGCATGAAACCTGATGGATTTTCTTCTGATCTCGTAGTTGTCACAATTCGCACAAAATGGAGGAATGCAATTCAGAGAATTTTCTGCGATTCTCTTTTAATACGGACATTTCCTGGAATATTCTGCGTTTAAAAACGGCGCCACGCAACTTCAGATTCAATTTTTGGCAGACTTCACGCCTCATGTATCAACATTCAATTCATGCTACCTTTTCAGCGTAATCTGTCGAACATTTGCGAATGGAATCAGGATTGCTGTATTATTTTTGTGCCTTTGAATCGGATTTGTGAGTAAAAATTAATTGAATTGAATTTTAGACCTTTATTCTAAATATTGTGCTGGTCTCAAATAGATAAATCCTGCACTTCATCTGCAAATGAAAGACATTATCAAATGCAAGATGCAATCAATCGCCAGGGTTTCATAAGTACGTTAATATTTCCAGATCAGCATATAAAAAATTGATTTGTGGATAACATACTACTGTACTTCACTGTACTAAATGTTCAAATCAATAAGCCGCCACCATTCGTTTGTGAGATTCATGGCGGTTTCATGGGGTTGGGAATTTGAAGGGTCCGTCACGAAAAAAGCTTGTCGGTGGTTTATCAAAAGAGCTATTTGATATGCAGATCAAATATAGTACGAAATCAAATATCATTCTTCCAGAAAACAATCAGGATAACCGTGGGATGCGTAAATTATATCCAGCTAATTTTCTCTCGAAATAAATTATGTCATCGGGTTTTTATTTACTGTAATTAGAGACCTCTCACCGGCAGTTGCATATTCTTGGCATGTTATGGAAGACAAAATTAATTGGTAGAAGAATATTTGAGTTAATTTTTGCGAATGGCGTTTTAACAGGGGTTCCAATGCTTTCATCATTAGGGAAAATCCTTTTTTTTTTAAAACAAATTTCCGGTTGCCAAGGGTGGCGGCTTATCGGGGGTTTCACTGTATGACGTTACCGATTTCCATCGTGTCTTTACTTTCAGAAAGAAGAAAAAAATCGTGCTACGGCTGTTTCGGAGTGGGAGAAGCATCAGGGAGGTCAAGGCTATCGTTCGAAAGTGAAAGCGTCGGAAGAGCAAGAGGCAGCTGCCTTACGAGCAGCGAACGAGTTGAACAACGTTTCTGGAGTGGGATCTAGTTCATCTGGCCCAAGTTCTCGACCTGCTAGGCGGATGAGGCCAGAATTTAACCCGCTGATGGGCCAGGGGACTAGTCGATTCACCCCGACGCCGAGGGGGAATGTCGGCGGTGGATGAGGTTAAACAAACCCCTGCATCTTCGGGATCATGGGTGACAGGCGAAATTTGAAGAGGTTGCCATGGAAATTCACTTCGACTTACTGATGATCAAAGTGTTCCTTGCCTGGGCAGATGTGGTTAATCCGTGTAATGATTCTTTTTATTGCTAAATTTTCATGGAAAATAATTTGTTCAGTCTGGTGTAGGTTGCCGTTATGCGTGTACAATTCTTCTGGAGAGATACAGTACTCACTTGTAGTACATCGAGGAGAAAAATTAACCTGTAGGACTACGTCTTTTTCACGAATCTTTGTAACTTGGCTACTTTGTTTACTTCCTATCTGTTCATCTGGCACCTTTTCGTTGTTTTTGCCTGTCCATGGGTTCCTGATGTGGGGGTTTTTCAACCGATAAGCTGGAAGAAGATTATCGAGTCGCTGCTTTTTTATGACGTCCTTACGCTGAAGTACGGGAAACTGTGAGGCGAAGTGACCGATGTGCTGCGCTTGAGTTCTTCATGATTCTGTCATTGAGTGCTGTTTTTTGTTATTGTTTAACAACTGGGATGATTGCATCGTGGAAATTACCATTATTTTCTGTACGGTACATGCGTTGTTTTGTTTCTGTTGAAATATCTGCGATACTGCTAGCCAACAGGACTGACAATAAGGAAACGTCAAAAGGGGAATCCTGTTCAAAGCAGCTTAAGCTGTGTTGTTCCTTATAATCTCACAGTTATGAACTGAGTTACAGAGAAATGTATCACAGGCAGACAGGCTGGCTTTTTGTTCCTGAAAACCCATGCAATTCACACAATCCTATATTCTGTAGGAAAAACAAACAAACCTGTGGAACATTCTTGAATCCCACGCTCAAGAAGCAGTTTGAATTCAAAATGTATTCCCTTCATTTTTCACATTTTAGGATAGGAGAATGTATATCAGATTTCCATCACTTCTTTCCATTAATCGAATGCAGGGCGCATTGGAAAAATGTAAAATGTGAGGTAGTAAGTTGTAAAAATTATCCAGCTGAAGCGTACCAAATTATTTTCCAAATGGAAGTTCAGATTTAGTTGGAAAATTGTGTGAAATTCTATGAGCCTTTTTGATGAGGGTTTGAATTGATTTTCACGAGGAATGTACAAAAATTCCTGATCAAATAAATGTAAAGTAGTATGCTTCCCATGTTGCCAAATTTTTTTTCTGAGCAGTAAAAAATTTAACGCATGCTCCCTTCTCTATGTGACGCACATGTCAAGTTGGACCTAACTGGGCTTCAGTCATGAACGTACAGTACCTATGCTGAATCTATTTACTAGCGCTAAGGTTTAAGAAGACAAGAACAATTGATCTGCTTTCATCATTTCCCGTGGGACTGCTGTGAGACGAATAGCGGCACCTAACTACTGTATATTGTATCTTGCACTGCAGTATTCTGCAGCTGTACTATGATGTGATCCCTGAAGCACTATCTGTAATCATCTACGCTCTTTGATAATCACTCGATCTCCGAAGCCGGAGTAAGTGTCTATCGCGTTAAGTCTTACTTCTCCGAGTCCGAGCTTAGGGGGACGTGGATCGACGCTCCTTACGCTTCGACAAGTGGCTTATTATGTGCTTTTCTTCAAATTTAATTTATTTGATTACTGTGATTGTGTTGGATATACCTGATAGTTGGATAGACAGGTCATGAGATCGAATTTCTTTCTTTTCCTTTAACATTTGTTCTTTGAATTGTTTTGAAGAGAGGGTGAATTTAGTTTTGAAAACAACAACTTCGTTTGCGCTTTGCTGTCTGATTCTACTCATTTTGGTGAGAATATTCGATTTTTAAAGGAAGCATGCGGTTTTCATGCATGGAAACCAAGACTGTAGGCTTCGTTCCAAGAGTATAGTATCGGTTAGAAATCATGTTCTTTTATTAAGGGTCCCGGTGCTTTATGGCCCTCTAATTTTATTTCATCCCTACACGCTCCGCGTTGTAACAATACCGGATATTGCCCACGACCCAAGGCTTACTTCTGGAATATTCAGGAACCATGTGTTTGGAAACTTAGGGGGGCGGGGGGGTACATGTGGCGCCAGCTGTTCGAGTATTGCCTCCTTTCCGCAATTATCCTCCTGGGATTCTCCCTGCAGAAAAATTCGCAGGAAATTCCTGTGAAGGATTGACTTTCTTGGTTTTCCGCCAGAGATTTTAGAATTTTGAAAGTACCAATAGTTCTGTGTTCGACGTTTCCGTTTAAAAATGCAGATAGAATTAATAATTGTTCATAATACAGTACCTTTAATTCCACAAGCTCTGTATAGGTCGTTATAGCAAACCGTTTTCTGAATACGAATAAATGAGGAACGGTCTTCAATTTTTTTTCTCAAGTTCCTCTGGAGAAAGTAAGGTAAGTTGCCTCTCGGACTGGTATCCAAACAGTGCTTATCCGTTTGGCAAATCTTTGCCGAAGGTCCACTTTTCCGAATGCATTCTTTCGTCTGGGATTTGTATGTTTCCTAATTCCTGTGCAGGATTTTTCTGGCCAATGAAGAGGTTGCGAAGGGCAGAATAATGAATCATTTTCTTGAGTTTCAATTTAGCACTCACAAGATGCCTAGATTTTCATCCATATGGTTAGAAATAACCTATGGGAGCTGTCACCCTTCCGAATGAAAAGATTCATGAATGAAAACCATACGCTGTACTGTAATGTACTGTATACAGTTTGAAACTTCGTAATCTTGCAGAAAATTTCTTAGAAAAATTGAGCATTCATTAATAAAGATTCTTCTAAAAAGAACTTCTTTTCAAAAATCCGTCTTCTTTTGAAAACGAAGAATTTTTCACGTGGATGCCCCAGTGGGATTTGGATAGATTTTCAAGCCTGAAATATTTTTGTTTGTAAATCAATTTAATACTGTACAGTTGAATAAACTGAACTGCTAGGTCTGTGAAAATAAATTATTTAATCAGATTTCTTTGCGGGCCTCTTCTGAAAATAAATTTGCCAGAATTTCAAGTACTGCTGTTGGTCTTGCAATCGGTTGTACAGCGGGGATTTTTATGTAAGTGCGCTTCTGAGTTTGTGTGTCCCTCATCAGTCATCTTGAATTGTTGCATCAAGGATGGTTTTTTTTTAAAGAAGAGTTCAATCAGTGTTAATTTAACTTTTTTGATAAATTCAATGCACAGCATAACTAACAATTATTATGAAGTATGCCTTTGTCAGGGAGTATGACCCATACCTTGTGGAGAAAATCCTTCACGTTTTCTTACTATTGGGATGAACATAGACTTACGCACAAAATTAGTCCACTGCCGAAATCTGTCGAAGTTTTTAGCATATTTAAGACCTTTATGTTGTATGTACTACATTCTCATAATCACATTGGATGAGTGCGGAACTATAACTCCGTAAAAAGCTTCAATCGATCATTTTTCTTAGGACCACGATCCTTTTCCTTTTTTCCATCTCGTCTACGATGAAATTTTCCTGGTTTAATGTTAATTCCTCTGCTTTAGAAATACAGTAATAAAGAACTACAATTCACATTCTTGAGATAAATTTCAGATGAGAGATCCATTTTTGAAAATTATGGCGTAGGCAAGTCAACTGAGCGCATAGTAATGACTTATTATGCTGTGAACTTCGGTCACCTCTAAATGACTGAATGTCTAACTCAAACGTGAGGTCGCGATCGTGGAAGGAAAATCTCATGAAAATGCTTTTTTTTTAATTGGAAAAAAATGCGGTTGACGTGGGAGGTTTCAGTTCATGTTTTACTTTCAGGAAAACGCATTTGAAAGTGTTATTTGAAAGAAATGACCAAGTAATGATCGGGCAAGTGCTGCAAGTGGTGATCCGCCATCCGATCGTTACAGGAGTTGTGCTCGGTGTCGCGTCCTTGTCCTGGTCCTTTTCCTCGATCGCCGTTCGTGCAAAGACCACCGCCTATTTCATGAATTCGGGAGATAAAAATTCCGGAACTGCATTCTCATTCGCTTTTGTCACTGCTCCGGACGAGTCCAAAGCCAAGGAACTCGCTCGCGGACTCGTCTCTGAAAAGCTCGCGGCATGCGTGAATATCGTGCCGAAAATCCTGTCCGTTTACGAATGGGAAGGCAAGATAAATGAGGACAATGAAGTCTTGATGATGATCAAGACACGAACGAATCGCGTCGACGAGTTGAGCGCGTATATTAGGAAACATCATCCGTATGAAGTGGCGGAAGTGATTGCGGCTACGATCACTCAGGGCAACGCGCCGTACCTAAAGTGGCTCGGTGAAGTTGTGCCGGACGTTAATAAGAAGCTATGAATCTATACCACTGTACTGAACGTGTTTGTGTTTTCCCCCTCACACATACACACACATTTTTCCGGTTTCTTTCTTTGATGAAGATATAATGCTCGAAGCAAGGGTTCTTTGTAACACTGTTGAACCTCTTCAAGTCAAACTTCAAGGGACCAACGAGAAAAAAACCTGATATAGGGATGTTTCGGATTGACAAGATGCTAAACTTGGAGACAAGGGTTAATTTGGCAAATTAGTCTTTCACGTCCTTTCAATGCACACCAAATTACATTTTTATTGCTTTTCTCTTTCCTTTGTCAAAAAAATTATAGTCAAAAGGCTTCCAAAAATGTGAGGTAAAGAGGTTTGAGGAGGAAAGCCTTTCTGAGGAGGTTTTTCATGCATTTCTTCTGAAGTACAGTAATTCAAACGGCGACTTGAAAAAAAAAATTCGACTGAGCAAGGTTTTTGAGTTATCAAAGTTCAACTGTATTATTTAAGATACTCCTGGTATTGATTTTTATGCAGGCATTTGCAAGTTTCATCATACAATATATGTAAAGTAATGCTTGAACTCTTCAAAGATTGAAGAAGATACACTATTTTCATTCAGTTCAGGTTGAACCACTCCGGATGACACTATATGAGAAAGGAAAAGGCCCGGAATTCGAAAAGTGCAATTTTTCCCAAATCCTGTGTGGTCTTGCAAATAAGGGTTGGTTCTGTTCCACGTGGAATTTTATAAAAAAAAGTGAACGTATTTTCGGAATTTTCTCCAAGTTTCAAATTTTTTCGCGTAACACTGATTTGTATGCACTTGCGCGTGCATTTTCCCAAGGTTGGACGCAAAATATTGTAAATGTTCCTCTGCGGCTTCTTGGATGCCCTGTGTTACAAAAACTATATTTAATTTTCGAATCGGGCGAACCGCTTTTTTGTTGTTGCTGATTTCAGGGAATGAGTGCGATGCAAGTTTTGGAGAACTCTATATCAGTTTTTCTTCTTCTTCTCGTTTCCCTTTCCTTGGCGTTTGACTTAGACTCTCATCCTTCCTTCATGTTACCGGTGAAAGTATCTCGCGAAAGCCGCGATCTTCCGCTCGGTCTTCCTCTCGTGATCAACACCTGGCCCTGGCCTGGGGCCACTCAAAGGGCCTGGGATGTCCTCACAACCGGAAACGGAAGTGTTGTGGACGCAGTCGTGGCGGGGTGTTCGGAAGCCGAGAAGGACCCGGTGATAGATTCCGTGGGGTTCGGAAATCATCCGGATGAATCTGGAGAGACTACTTTGGATGCGATGGTGATTGACGGCGAGACCCGGGGTATCGGGGCTGTGGCGGATTTGCGAAGGATCAAAGAGGCTGTTGCTGTGGCCAGGGCTGTGATGGATCATACTCAGCACACGATGCTTGTTGGCGAGGCTGCTACCAAGTGAGAGAGAAAGAGATGGATTGATTTAAACCAGTGCTGGCCTACTCAGATGTGGCCGAGGGCCACACTGATGCATTTTTTTCGATGTGGTCTAGGGCCACATTGCAGAGGTGGGAAGACTTCTTGGGGGCCCTAATACAGTACTGTAGACGAAGTTTGAAGTTCCAAGCAATTTTTCCCTTGAATCCAGTTCTTTTGTGCTATGCGTTGAATCACAAGCATGGTCTTGTAGAATTTTTGAAGAGTGGAGCAGCAATATTTTCAATTTTAAAATTCTTCCAATACTGTATATACCGTATATCAAACAATGAAAATGAACAATGTCACCTTGAAAATTATTGGGAAGGGACCACTTCAAGCTCCCTAGGTCAAATACCTCTCCATGTTGGATTTTTTTTCAAAGTCCCGTGCTGAATTCCCAAAACAACGTCTTGTATTGAAAATCCCTCAAATCTCTGTAACAAAAATTTTCCGGAGGAATTTTGTCTGTTATTTTATTTACACAGGAAAGGAAAAAGCAATACAAATTTAACTTGATGCGTTTTGCAAGGATAATTGGGCAAATTAACCCTTGCCTCCAAGTTCAGCATTCTGTTAACTTTTTTACAGGGCGGTTTTGGTTAAAAAGGATTATGAATCCCAACTTCCTTTAATTCTTATCCTTCAAAGCGAACAAAATTATTTTACCCAACTCCAAACCTCTCAAAGGTAAATGTTTTGACAGGCACATTTTGCGGCATTACAAGCAAGGGTGCCACTAAATTTGGGGTATTGTATGAGAGCAAGGTTCAGCTGAATTTGTCTACTACTGATAAAATGAGATTTTTTGCAGAAATTGTTGGTAATGGAGTCTGTTTTATGAGAGAAATACGAATAATACGGCAATTGCCAGCTGAATTGCGCCATTTTTACACTTTATCTCAATTATTTAATAATGCAGAATACATAAAATAAAATTTTGCTTATTTTTGTCTAGTAAAAGACCAGAGATGCTCCTAGTTTTTTTCATCAACCTTTCCATAAAAGAACGCAATTTCAAAATCAGGTAAAAATTATTTTAATTTTTCATAAAGGCTATTCCAGTTTTAGAGATGCTCTTCACTGTTGAGGACATCAAAATGATGCCACAAAGTGACATCTAAATTCAGAAAAAATAATTTTCAAAATTATCCTGTGCATGGGCATGAGTGTCTCAATGATAAAACTAGCAATAACCTGGGTAAAGAGCTGGATTTCTTTTATTTGGGCTCATTTTTTCATCGAGTGTTCTGACTTTTTTTTACAAGGCCGTTTTGGGTAACAAAGAAAAAGATTATGATTTCCAGGACCCTGCATTTTGTAATGCCATGCATGATATGCGATGTTGCCTTCAAAAATATACATACAGTACTGTATCAGGTTTTGTGTACCGTACAAATCTGCTGACTGTGGAAATAATTTCCGAAGTAGAACATTTGTGGGAAATCTGCTGTCTGCTAAAATAATTTTCGAAGTAGAGAATCCGTGTTATTCATGATGGTTTGGAAATGTTTTTCCTTCCGAATCTTCTAGTGTTCTGTGATATTGAAGTTATGTTGAGCAATACATTTTTTAGGAATGTAATCCGTTACCAATCAATTACTTCAATTACTTTAGATAGTAGATTCGTCAATTATTGCACAAATCAAAGTACTGTATGCTGTACTAGCATTTTTTAAGAAACTTCCTTCAACTTAAATTTTTTCTAAATTTCTGTAGACAATGTGTAATGAGCAAGAATTTGCGAAAAATATGGTGGCAGATATGTTTTCAGGGTAATCCTGGAAATCATGCTAAAAATGCGGTTCACTGTTTACTGCCAGAGTTGATTGTGTTTTCCGCAAAACTTTTCTCGCTTGAGATTGAAAATTGCGATGTCGATGGCTCTAGATTTGCTGTCGCTATGGGCTTTCAAGAAACCTCCCTGTCCACGGACCTGTCGAAACAAATTCACTCCAACTGGACTGCAAACAATTGCCAGCCAAACTTCTGGCGAAACGTGACCCCGGACCCTCGTCAATCCTGTGGACCGTACTCACCAATAAAAGGACCCTCTTCTCAGCCGCAGTCAGCGAGTGAATCCGTTTCCGAACGTAATCACGACACCATTGGCATGATCGCCATCGACGGTGACGGGAAAATAGCCGCCGGGACGTCAACAAACGGCGCCCAATTCAAGATTCCGGGTCGAGTGGGAGACACTGCAATCCCAGGCAGCGGCGCCTTTGTGGACGCCGAAGTCGGCGCTGCAGCGGCAACCGGCGACGGCGACGTGATGATGCGTTTCCTGCCGAGCATGGCGGCGGTTGAAATGTTGAGAGGCGGCGTGACGCCGTATAATGCGGCGGTCGAGGCCCTGGCCCGAATTGCTCGGGTGTTTCCCGATGTGAAGGCTGGGATTGTAGTGGCCAAAAAGAATGGAGAGTTTGCTGGGGCTTGTTACGGGTTCGAAACGTTTGAGTATTGCGTTGTAGAGGCGTTGACGGGACAAGTGCAGGTTATTCCTGTGTCGTGTTTCTCCTTGAGTGAAAATAAGGAACCTTCGTTGCCTCGTTCTGTTGAGTGAATTCTTGGCGAGTTTATTGTATTCACTTGAGTACCACGAGCACCTTTTTTTCTCGAAATTGAAAGCAAACGTGCGATTCAAAGGCGGGTATACATGTTTCCAACGAAAAAAAAAAAATGTGGAGTTTAGTTGTGAATTATACTTCATTTTAATGACAAATTTGGGACCAATTTTATCAGAAAAACCTATCTTGGTGGAAATTATTGAAAATTAGTTGAATTCAGGTTCAGTTCATGTCTAATTCAAATTTGGGTGGTCCTATTTTTGAAATATTGCAGTGTTAGGGTCACTGAAGATGAGGTGCGCGTCTTACTTGGGGATACGATTTAAAAAGAATTTCGTGATGAAAAATGCCAGTGCGTGTGGTACTGGAGTGAATACGGGTACTTGCACTCAGACTTTTTTCAGCTGCCTTGAATTTGCATATCATTTTAATTTACTGTATGAATTGATGTACAGTACGCTTGCAATTTCAACATGATTCTTACACATTTGGAGCAGGCATTTCCATATTTGCAATGTTTTCGTGTGCAGTATTTTTCGGTACAGATTGTCGTTGAGGTTTCAGTTCTCTCGCACACGTGAGAAAAGTCTCGCTGATTTTTCCATCTATTTTTTGCATTTTGCCTTCATGTCCTTCAATGAAGAAATTTTTGTGAATGTTGAGATGCTTACTAGTAGATGGCCATTATTTTGTAAATGTCGAAAGTTATCAACTGAAGGGCTGTAATTCGCCACGGAGGGAAGAGAAAACATTAGCCAGGATTCGCGAGATGTTCATTTATTTTTTAAGTGCCATTTGCATGTGGCATCTTCCATTTGTTGGACTTTGTGGGCTTTGAAATGCCCTTTTCTGGAAATGAAGTACCTAATTTTGAGTTCCGTTGAGGGCTTCCTGATTCATTTAAAAGTTTGGTTAAGGCGAAGCTAGTCAAAGTTTTTGTCGGACTTGGAACTTACCTCGGAATTTAATCTTGTTTAGCTCTTACCGTCAGTCATGAGGCGCATAACTTCAGGATGATCTTTTATTTTGTGAGTATAAATATCGTATATTCAAGTACTATGTATGTACCGTTTTTTTATTTTGTGTGTCGTTTTAATTTTTCAGATTAGTTCAATCGTCGCTGAGATTATCACGGCATTCGGATCAATTGCGTTGTCCGGGATCCGCCACGCTGTGCAATTGGTCGGTGCTGTTTTGGACGTTGCCGTCTGCCTGTTTGCATTCTACACCATTTATGACTTTATTTTGCACGGCGGCGAGTCGACAGTGCTCAAGTTGCCCGCAGCAGACAAGTGGGAATGGAAGACAATTAAAGAGAAGGTGCTGAGTAGGTGCCCTCAGTTGGAGCACTGAAAATAAAGGTCTCAGATGAATGAATGTGTGATCCATGGCTGCTACTGCTGAGGCAGTTGGGAACCCGAATTCAACATATACCAGGGTTCATCGGTACGAAGCATCTTTGCCTGTGAAAATCGTGAGTGGAAAGTTTATTATTATAAACGGTGTGACAACATTTGAAGAAATCGACAAGAGTTAATTCTAAATACTGTTGAACCTGTGTGAATCAATTCCGAGGGACCAGAAAAGATTTCGGGAGTTCCAATTTTTACCGAAATTCAAACAGGGCGACATCAACACTTTTTTGGCCCCGGGCCACATTGCAGAGTCCTTGCGGACCACAACAGACTATTTTTTATGTCTCTCAGGTAACAACAGTATAAAAATACTGTACAGTTATACGAGCATTGCAAAGACTCATCCAACGCAGTGAATTCTGTACCAAAGAAATCATGGCAAAAAAGAGGAACTGGAAAAAGGAAGAGCTTGTCACTAATTTTCTTTGCAAACCTGTCCCTAACTTCATCGGGATTCTTATCAACCATATGAGGACTCATTTCGCATCTTTTTCTCATGTTCGATGATTATCCTGGTTGAAATTCCCCGGATTTAATCATCATTTATTCAAGGATTTGTGGAAGATTAGTCTGTGGCAATTTATTTCCAAGAGACGCCAATTGTTCCCATTTTATCGTGGGAAGTTTCAAATATTAATTCAGTTATAAAATGTAATTCAGTTCAATTGATTGGATCTCCAGCGTAGAATTTTTCAAGATTTTGAAATTTAAAATTCATCGCGGACAGGATCGGGCCCCGCATGTTGAGCAGCATTGTCTTACATTACTTCATGTTCGTGTACAATTAACGCTTGGAATGTTCCCTTTCCGGTCTGAATACAATGCAATACAGTACTTCAATTTAAATGCAGATGTTCTTTTACTTGAGCTTTCATTATTGTACAAGTAAAATAAGAGTTTTCCTCATGAAACCCAGAGTTTTGATTATTCAGGCGAAGCATACTTCGCTTCATTCTTTTTTTATCCGGCGACACTTTTTCTGCGAGATAGATTTTGGAATGTGACATGTTTGACTCAAGCTAAAATAGAAAGTCGTTCTCACGAGCTCCGGGATTTTCCGCTGTAGTCGTCCTCTCTGATTTCCCACAAAAATAATGCTATTCTGGGGTCTATGCGAAAGTATAGTTGAAATATTTCCTTGGAATTTAATTAACTTTTTTGGAAAATTTCCGACGAAGTTCAAACAATTTATCCCTAAAAAGCCACGTTTGGACTCGATTTCTTTGCCGTATTATCACTGCTATGCCTTTGCGAACACGGTTAAATTACCCTGTTGATAAAGTTTTGTGATTTTCTGCCTGAATTGTGATTGATTTGACTAAGTTATGATGAAGGCGGAGTTATTCATGTGTTTGCAGGTTTTAGTGCTTGCTGTGATTGGATTCTTGTCAATTTTCCCGCTGATTCTCTCTGTTCTTGGACCGATTCTCTCGTGCATGGCGTTTGCTCTTCAACTGTTCCTGTTGTATGTTCTGGCCAGTCTTATATTTGGCTCTTTCCAGCAGCGTTCGTCATGATCTGAGTAAGGGAAGAGATTATCGTAAATCCTCGAAACCTTTGAAAATCGAGTCAAATATTTTTTTAATTAGATGACTATTCAATCCGAATAAAAATGAAAGTCTGTGCACGTTTTGCTATTTCTTATATATGCATCGGAAAACACTTAAATGTTCGCCTGTACAGTATTTCAAAACGGATTTTTGGGTATCACTGGGGAATCTATTGAAGGTTTATTTTAACGATTAAATGATTATTTTCCGAGGATAGAAAATAATTTTTGAGGCACGGTGTGGTTTATTTGTTACATTCTGTGTTTCATTTCCGCCTGAAACAGAACTGTGTCGCTGATTTTTGGCTGCACGGGGGATAAAACTATTCCAGGTGACGGGAAAAATATTATCAATTTGCGTAATGTAACATTTCGGTCTGTCATTAATCGTAGGAAAAATTATGTATTGACAGACACTTGGGACGGTGAACTTCTGCTGGCCTGGGATGGTGCAGGAGAGCAGGGTGATCCCCACCTCTTGTTTAGATGTTCGAGGTGTTCAGGAAACTTGAGCCAAGGGAGAGACGTCGACATGGCCTGCAACGGCCATTTTCCGCCATGCAATGGATCTGCATTTTGTACACGTGCGCAGCCATCTTGGTCTTTTATGGGATTATTTGCGTGAATTTCGGGGGATTGCTGGGAACCGTTTTCGCTGTGGTGACTACCATTTTCTTTCTTTCTTCGATTTCATAGGATTCATCTAGAGTTGCCGATGATGGAGGAATTTTTTTTATTTAGGTGGGAGGAGTTCTGTTCGCTGTCGTTGCTTCGGCTTATTTTTCTGCGAGCTTGATTGACCCCGCTCATGAGGCTCTCAGGAAACGAATTCCTCCGTCTCAGGAGGCATCTGGACCGAATACCGTCTTCTGTAGAACATGCAAGATTTACATGACGTGAGATGAATTCGAAATTCTTGAATCTTGAAGATTGAGAGATAAGAGGAGCAACAGCACGCATGCAAGCCTTGTAAATCATAAGCAATAATTATCGGGTCAAAAGTTATTGAGAAATTGCGACGTTAGAATTTCTGCCTTGATGGTGCAATTCTCGTACAATATTTTCATTTATTTCGTACGATTTTTTTTTTTAGAGTTGAGGATAAAGTGAAGCATTGCAGAAGTTGTGGACGATGCGTGCCAATGTTCGATCATCATTGTCCAGCGTTGAATAATTGCGTTGGGAAACGGAATTTCAAAATAACTATCGTCCTTTTCAACGCTGGGCTACTGTTGGCAGTTTTTCTGGATGCATTAGTTGGACTGTTGGTGTTTGGCTACTTGGTGAAGCCTGAGTTACTTGTTCGTGAACCAGGTTTTAAATATTTTTGATCGTTTTGCATTTTTCAATATTTCAGTGTTTTGGTTACAAACCTGCATTTCCTCATTTTTCAGGGAAAGGTGGTCTATTGATGTTTGGTTTTCCAGTGAAAGCCATTGTGGTGTTTCCACTGCTTGGAGTTTTCGCTCTGGTGAATACAGCTGTGGTTATTAGCTTGATTGCACTTGTCGCCTATCATTGGTACAACAGTGAGTTGTTTTCATCGCGAATTATATTTCCTCGCCTTCTCTTCATTGTTAAAAATTATCTTGAAGTTGCAGCTTTCGAGGAGATACGGTTTTCAAGTCTTATAATCTATTGGAAGTTATGAAGGTAAAATCTTGTGCCGTTTTCCCCTAAGTAGACTGGGAAAAAATACATATCGAGGAGAAGTTTATCTCATCGCGAGCCTTTCTCAATTACAGTAAATATATTTCGTCTGTCGATATTTCACACTTGGTTCGAATAAAAATGTCACTTCAGCTTAGTTCGTTGTCACAGACATATTTCATAAATTTGCTGTTAGTTTTACAAAATCTGCAGATAGTAATTCTGAAATTTGTTATACAGTACCACTATAGATTAACTCGTTTGGTAAAATCAAAAGAGCAGGTATGACATGCAAAAGTGCAATTAATTTTAATTCTGAAGCCTGACCGAAAGTCGTGACTGTGTTAATTTGTTAATCCTATTTATTTCGGGCCATCATCTTATCCTGCTTGGTCTTTCAATACTTTTCTCCAAGGTTTTTCTTCATTCTTTTATTCGCGATCGTTGCTTTTGTGATTGCTATTTTAAGATCTGTTTTTACGTGCACTGTCGGATTGTATTGTTTCAGTATTCGCCGAGATGACCACGTATGATCAAATTTTGCAAGAGCGACAAGGTAACTCGAAGCGTTATTCGGTATGCTTATCAAAGAACCTTTTCACGTGTCTCGGAAGTAACAACAAACGACGTCGAGACGAAGTTCCGCCCAATTCTCAGGTGTCTCCGAATCCGAGGCTTTCTAATCTCACCATAAGCTCTGAATGGACTGAAGGCAATCGGTCCAGCAGGACAACGAATTACGACGAGCTCGGAGTGAGGAGAAGCATGACTTTCGATGAACAATGGGACCGTGTTCGACAGAATTCCAAGGATGTGAGCGATTTTTTTTTCACGAGTTTAGTTGAAGTCATGACGGTTTATCTCTTTTTTTTTGTTGCACAGGTGAACCCTATGTCTGTCAAATTTTCTCCTAGTGCGACTCGAACTCCTCGTTGGAAGTCGAATCGACATTTAGACATGGGGAATCCAAGAGCCAAACGTCACATTGATGGGTTTCAACGCTGTCAACATTTTCAATGTCCAGAAGTCGACATGGTTTCAAGATCGTCGGAAGTCTTCGTGGATATTTCAAAGTTCAGGCATGGAATACGTTTTTTTTCGCAGTATTAATTTTTAAACACAAGAAATATTTTATTCGTTTGCAGGTCTTCGTCGAAAATTGATGATGAAGTGTATGTCGACACGGGAGAATCGAGTTACGAATCCCCCTCCAGGCTGCAGAGCTCATTTGAATTTACTTTGAATAACTCCTTTGTTCAGATGGGCAAGAAATATGATCGAACCAACTGATATTCGTCGTATGATCTGAACAGTTTTTATTTTCCTGCGACATGCCGACTTTTCTCGAGACTTTCTCAACAGGGCAGATTGAGAAAACATGCAAACGGATTTCCGAAAAGAAATATTTTTTGTATTACTGTACCTTTTCAATGATATCTGCTTTCATGGTTCTGGAAGTTACATTTTTACGACCACTTACGAACATTTTTAAAGATGTTCCTTCAAAAAATTGTTTTATTCTGCTGGGAGTTGAAGATGTTCAGATTTCGTTTTGATTTCCAATATTTTGCTGTATAATAATTGAACAGTGTGTTCATCATTTCTAGAAAATTGGAAGCCTTTTTTCACACGAATTGCTGAGTTGTCTCATTTTCCTTTTCTTGTGGAAGCTCGTCATGGAAACGAAATATTTTTTAGCTGGATTATTTCTACCCACGTTTGGATTTTATTCTTTATAGAACGGTTTTTTTTTTATAAAATTCAGAAAAGGTATCGAGAACATGAATGAGAACAGTGTATTTTTTTAGGCGTGGATTATTAGAAGGCTGTGATGTTCACATCCGAACGGAATCAGAGTGTTGATTAGATCTCTAGTCTAAATTTACGAGCTCATTTTTTTTTCGTGGGCCACCTTGTGAATGCCGGGCAATAAAAATTCTCGAACTTAAATTCCTCTCGCTTCTTGTAGACAGACGTCTTTGAGTTCTTTGTGCGATTATGGCGTTGTGTTTTCTTCTGATTCTGCAGCCTCGTATCCGCATAAGTCCCGTGATGGGGGACATCGCTACGCGGGATGAGATCGAACGCATAGCAAATGGTGAAATCGGTTTTGGTTCGATGTGCGGGCATGATTGAGAGCTCGGTTGATCTCCGATGAAGCCTTATCGCGGGATTAGCTCGATAAGTGTGGGTTGTGTTGGTCCTTCGCGGGAGTCCCGCTATCGCGCGGATTTAGTGGAATTGCGTGTTTCCCCGCGGACGTGAGTGATCATCGTTTTTCGATCCCGGTGTGGGCGGAAACACACACAAGAAAAATTTCGCCGCGAGGAATCTAAAATCACGTTGAGCGAATACGTGCATAGGATTGCTTGACACCGTGACAAATAGTTCCGTGTGTATACAGTGTATTTAATTTTACTGATCATCATGACGATAATCGCCCAGCTGGGAGGTGCGCATGATCTGACAGTTTAATGTGCCGTATGTAGAGAATATTTACCTCGTCTGTAAAGCTTAGGTGAACTACGAGAATTCTCACTCAGGAAATATCAGCTGGCGTATGTGAATCCATCCTGTGCAAAATGCTAGTTATTGTGTGGTGAATGTTTTCAAATTCAGTTCATCACTGTAGTACAGTACTATAGTGTTCACAAGATTACAGTCAACGCTTGAATTGATGCCACAAATTTCCATGAAACAAATCTCCATTCATTGTGTCCTGAATGGAAATCCTAATTTAGTGTCAAATCACCAAATGACAAAAAAAAAATCCTGGGTAAATGGGCCCAAATCAAAGAAAATTGGGAATTTTTCTATGGATATATTAGTTCATAAATGAGAAGCCCATGCTCAGGACAATTTTGAAAATCCTTTTTCTGTATTTTAATGTCATTGGGTGGCATTATTCATATGTCCTCCATAGTGAAGAGCATCTCCATCACTATGATAGCCTCTTGAAAAATAAAAATAGTTTCACTGATCATGGAATTGTGTGATTTAATTGCAAGGTTGACGCAAAACTTTGAGGAACAGCTTTGCTCTTCTATATACAAAAATCTAATATATTCTGTACAATTGAATACATTGAAAGAAAACAACAAAAAACGTGCGTTTGAGCTTGAGATTATTTCTTGTGGCTTTCTCTCCCGTAAAACAGACTCAATTCAGAAAATACTGTAATTATATTTTGCTTGTAAATTGTAATAGAAGCCCTCAACTAAGCCGCCTTCCTCTCATGCAATACGACACTTTGGTCCCACCCATACTATCTCTCCCGTAAAACAGACTCAATTCAGAAAATACTGTAATTATATTTTGCTTGTAAATTGTAATAGAAGCCCTCAACTAAGCCGCCTTCCTCTCATGCAATACGACACTTTGGTCCCACCCATACTTATTTCCATAAATTTATAGATGATGGCACTAAATTGAGGTTTAACTGTATTGATTCAAGGGAAATTTGAAATGGGCATTTATTTCCAGTACTACATCGCCACCCAGTATGCCGTGGAATAATATCCTCTAGAAGTCTAGATCAAGGAAGTAATAGCACTTTTGGTGCACTCAGGTGTTCCTAACATAATTTTTTAACAAGTGATAGTGGGCCTTAGATTTGCCTGTGAAATACAATAAGTTGCAATCTTATGACTAAAAGAAGATGGCGAACCTTATAATCTGACGCTTAGTACAGAACATTCCCATTTTTCCTACTGCCATAGATCTTCTCAAAAATTCTGCCTATGTGACCCGTTCCAGAGTTACGCAAGTGTGAAACGACATGTTGTTTCCCTTACTTGGTCTAGCTGACGTTGAATGGAATAAACCTATTGTCATGATAATCAGATAAGACTACTTGAATAATGCATGACGAGGTCACGGATGCATCTTCGACACTGGAATATTTAGCGCATGTGGATCGCAAGATGCGTGACGAAATTCTTCCCATGTATGTTAATGGTTTCGAGTGACTTGCGATTCGTTGTTGATTCTCAGTATCTCGGTGAAGCCTGTTCTCCGTTGAATTCCAAGCGTGACTTCCCGTTGTATTCTTGAAGATCAGACGTGATGAGGGCGACTAATAACTCACCAGGTGACTAAACTTGTCTGAAGATAAGATTAGAGTGCGAGTGTCTGTCACACTTTCTAACTTAAATTTGGGATTCCGCGCTGAAGGAATGCGAGGAACAGGTGTGATGAAAAAAAAATACTACGAATATTTCCGAAGACTGATTTTTTGTCGGTTGACACGCACGAAACTCTCAACATGTTCGGACGAGCAGTTGGTTGTAAAGCTTTCGGAATCTGGCGTCGATGATATTGACAATGGCTCGTCACTAAATTTCGTTTCAATCGGCAAAAGATGAAGAACTGAAATGTTAGTATTGGATCACGATGATCGAATAACTTCAATGCGTGTGATGAAGTGGTTGGAGACCAGCAGCGATTCAGATGTCTTCACTCTTGTGAAAAAAAGTGAAGAACGTGAGGGACCTGATGATGAGTGATATCATGCTAATGCAATTAACATTGATACAAATAAAAACGACGGAACGCTTTTCTCAGCGTTAGCGTTGAACCAAGAGACAGTTCGAAGACCCGTTGACATTTGCCGATAATGACACTACTTCTATTCGACGACATTGTACAGTACTGTACATTGAGATTCGCTTCTCTTCTACTTTTACAATAATGTTCTCTGTAAAAAAAATTGTAATTACCGTATCCTAGTTCATTGAGACGGAAGTGAACGCCAATTTAAATTATGAGTACTGCAGTGGGTTTAATTAATTTCAACTGTTCGCAAGTGCGCCTTTTCGTAGAGAGAACTTTTAACAAAAGTGCATTGTCTGAAGCGCAAGCTTTTTTCGCGTAAGTCACAAATCTTGTGTCATGACTCAAAATATAATTGTGTTCCTTTTTTGTCCCAGGTAGAATTAATTCGCACGGACACGTTACCATTGTAGTCCCTTGTTTTGCTGGTGTACTGTGTTGCGCTTTCGAATTATTTTTGTGCAATTCCATCGTTCCCTCATCGTCGTGATGTTTCACGGCAGGATGACGGAAACCCGTGATTTCTGAGGAATAGACCCTTTCTTCCTCATCCATTCATTCCTCGGACCCGGTGAAAACTTGATCTCGCCGCGGATTCTTCGAAATTTCCTTCTATTCTGCTCAGGTAAAGTTGATTTCTTGCATTTTTTTTATTGAGATTTTGATTGGATCCGGGTGAAACACTGTAAAATTGCTTCGAAGTATTGATTAATTGAATCCGGATTCGTAAACATTTCCCCGCAGAACTCAATCGTCATGCGCCTATGACTCTGTAATAACGAATAGCACTGTAGAAATTACGATTGGGGGCATAAGTGAAATGAGACATTTGATCCGAAGTTCGGTAGAAATACACCACCTCTGTGACAGCCAGCGACATCTAATTACATTGAAAATTAATTTACTAATAATCAATTAGGACTGTACACTGAACTTTTCTGAGCAGTGCACACAGTAATTTTACTATTTTGCTAGGGTTGCCCCACTGCCGTGAATCCTTGGAAATTTTAACACTTTCATAAATCTAAGAAAAATTTTGAAACTTTCTTGATGTTCAAGGCATTTGCTATTCTTTCAGATTTTCAAGAATTTTCTTAGGTGATGCATGATGAAAAGTGAAAACTTTCCATTTGAGGCCGAAGTTTCCCACTCATTTAGCAGCATGCTGAAAATTTTTCATGAACGTTTAAAATTTAACTCTTTTCTTGTGGAGCATGATTTTTCTCATAGCTGGTGAAAATGTTGAAATTTTTTAGGTGTGTCTATAAAGCAAAACTTTTTGAGGATTGACAATGACAAGGCATTAATTTAAAATGTGGGTCACAATCCCTTGCCAAGGATAATTTCTGTGCGTTACAGTCACTGTGGGACCCTGAGATGCAGACATAATTAGTGCTTGAACCTTGTCACTATGTTGGAATGTCTGCATGTTGGATCACATTTTCTTGTAGACTTCAATAAGAACATCTTCAATTGGTTCTCCTGTTTATAAAAAAAATTGGGAAAAGGGCCTGCAAAAATAGAGTTTTTTTTTAAATTCAAGATACAGAAAAATGAATGCAGAAAATAAAACCACACACAAAATCTGATCTTTTGACATGCAAAAGATCCCAAAAAGCAAAGGACACGTAAAAGTCATGCTATACTGTGCACAGATTATGGAATGTTGGCAGTGTCCGTATCTCGGGGTCCCACAGTAGCGTATGTGCCAATGGGCAAGGATCCGCCTTGTTCCTGCTAAGCCATTGAAGTTTGTGAAATTCGGGAATTCGTTTTTCAGATCCACGGTGAATTTGGAACTGGGTTCTCATCAAATTCCTGGATTCATCAAAATTTTCGTGCATTCCAAGCATCTGTGATACAAGAGAATTCCAAAAACAGGACGCCAGTCACGAGGAAACTGTTTTCTAGTGGAAGAGTCGCACATTTGGTCACTGGTCGTGGTTGTGGTTTCCAAGCTTTTGGTCAGTGTTGGGGTAACTGGAAACAAACATCACAACAATGGGTGGGAAAATCATTGATCGTCTCATGCGACGTAAGTACATCAGTTCCGGGGAATTGGCGGAGTCTTCGCTGAAGAGGACACTTACTACTCTGGATCTGACTGCACTTGGCATCGGGAGCACCTTAGGAGTGGGTGTGTATGTGCTGGCTGGAGATGTGGCCAAAAACTCTGCTGGACCTTCTGTTGTGCTGAGCTTTGCGATTGCTGCTATTGCATCTGTGTTTGCTGGTGAGTTTCTGCCCTTTGGTTATTTGAAATGAGGAGGGATAAATTATACAGTACTGTACATTTATATTGTGGAAGTAAAATTCATTATTTTTTTGTAATATGAATTCGGCCACAAAAGAAAAAGTACAGTTAGTATGTGTTTGGAGACATACAATGGTTGGAACCCTCTTAGTTGAGTCAAATCAGGAGGATACTTGGAAATTTTCAAGCTTATTGACTACAGTATTTTTTGAAACTTAACCCCACAGTTGCTTCCACACATTTTATGCTATTCCAAAGTGAAAACTATTCTTACGAAAACTTTGCAAATAAAGTGTTCTGTTCATTCATTCATTCATGAAATATTGTATTGCTTCACAATATTGAATCACTCCAAGTTAGCTTGAAAGAAGACAAACCCCTCATTTTCAGTTCATCATTTTTGAAAGTCTACCTTGAAAGGATTTACGTTTTTACTTAACCTTTAATGAGAAGGTTTGACTGTGGTCGGATTTCAATAAAAAGTAAATTGGAAATAAGCACACAAATCAATAAAAATCTATTAAATTGAATAGGGAACCCTGTTAAATTTAAATTTCTTCCTTTTTTATGTTATCTTTGGAAGTCACTTGAACTGCAGGTTCAATGGGCAGGTGTCATTTATGCGGAAATTGTTCTGAACTACTTTAGCAGATGGCGCTGCTGTAGTGTTCCAGTCTGTATTCAGTTTTTTTCTAGAAGACTGATGTGCAAATTTCCCTGCCCTCCAGAAAACTTATTGATGAGTAGAAAGGAACATTCTAGGGGAGTTGGAGTGTAATTTTGCATGTATTTATCATTTTTTACAACAAAAATTACGAAGCAAAGTTGTTGATCGGAAATAATGGTATGAACGTTTCATGACATTAATTCTTGGGTTGGGATGCATTAGATTCGGAAAACGGAAGTTTCATTTATTTGTCGGGACAGGGATTCGCAAGGATCCCGGTGTATTGCAGGCTTTTGATGGGTACTGGTCTTCTTCGCTGAATTAGGGTTGTGTTATGCTGAATTTGGTGCCCGGGTACCTCGAGCTGGTTCAGCGTACGTCTACAGTTATGTTTGCGTCGGAGAGCTTATTGCATTCATCATTGGTTGGAATTTGATTCTGGAATATGTGATTGGTGAGTGACAGTTTAGTTTGTTGAAGTCTTCGCTAATTTAAAGTGATCACCTTTTTCTGGGAAATCCTGCTGCAGGCACTGCAAGTGTTGCAAGAGGATACAGTAATTACTTGGACTCTCTATTTGACAAAAAAATGCAATCAGCATTTCGTAATATCACTCCAATTCACGACTGGCTTGACAGCCCAACTGCTTCTGAATACCTGTCTTCTTACTTCGACTTTTTTGCCCTCGGGATTTGCATCCTGTTGTCATTGCTGCTATCTTTTGGGGTGAAGGAGTCTTCCAAGTTCAACAATGTGTTCACTGTTTTGAACTTGTTGGTTGTCGTTTATGTCATCATCATTGGAAGCTTCAAAGGTAGGTTGTGTAATTTGAATTAGCGTGAGTCTGATCTCCATTGGTGTCTTGATGTTTTTTCTGGAAACAGCGGACATCAAGAACTGGCAAATTGAACCTGAAGAAGTTGAAAATTCTGGTAACTATAATGTTGGAGACGGAGGTTTCTTTCCTTTTGGAATCAATGGAATGTTGTCCGGTGCTGCAACTTGTTTCTATGGGTTCATTGGATTCGATGCTGTTGCTACAACTGGTGAGAGGGGTTTTAAAAGTCGAATAAAAATGGTACGGTAAATCCTTGCGTGAATATAAAATCATGAATTTCCCTAAATATTGCTGGACATCTGAATTCGAGTTTTTCTTTCTGAAGGAAAATTATGAAGTAAAGGTCATATGAAAGTATTTTATTGTGAACAGGTGAAGAAACCAAGAATCCACAGAGATCAATTCCAATTGCAATCGTGGTGTCGCTGACATTCATTTTCCTGGCTTACTTTGGGATCTCCACGGTACTGACCATGATGTGGCCCTACTATGACCAGGATCCCAATTCCCCGTTGCCTACAGTGTTCGAGGCTATTGGTTGGCCTTCTGCAAAATGGATTGTGTCCATTGGCGCTTTATTTGGACTATCAACTAGGTAAAAATTTAAATTTGTAAGGTTTGACGAGAGGAAAAATGTGTATTTTGTGTAATGTCTTTTTCGTCACACTATTTTTTTCATTACAGTAGAAAATTTTTTTTTATATATTTCACTGACGTTGAAAATTGAATTCCAATTTCAATGTTTCCCTATTTTATGTTCTTTAATTTATACTTCAAAGTTTTATAGAGATCACCTTGATTATTGTTTGTATTTTTAAATGAAAAAGAACCAATTTTTGTAAATATTTTCAGACTTTCAGTGAATTAGAAAAAATCAGATTTTAAAATGTGTAGTGAAATAATGGCTAAATACATTTTCATTACGTTGCAGTTCTGAATGATTTCATGGCTTCCTTTTTCAGTTTGTTGGGAGCAATGTTTCCTCTTCCAAGGGTTGTCTATGCTATGGCCAAGGATGGTCTAATTTTCCGATTTCTTGCCAAAGTTCATTCCAAGTACCAAACCCCCATGCTTGCAACCCTGCTTTCTGGAACCTTCGGAGGTAGGCATTTTTATCCTTTTTGTTTTGTTTTTGAGAATTTATGACCTGTGGCTCATTTGGTTCACGATTTCTGCAGGAATCCTGGCGGCAATTTTCGACCTTAATGCATTGGTGGACATGATGTCGATTGGAACTTTGTTGGCTTACACTCTGGTCGCCGTTTGTGTGCTAATTTTGAGGTGAATCAATAGTATTATTTTCCCCTTGGGTCGAACTTAATCTGGGAATTTTCATCTTCAAAAATGCTTATAACATAGAAGTAGTGATTTTTCTCGGAATTTTCTCTATGATTCCGAATCTAGAAGTCGGGTAGATTAGTAAGTTCTTCCCCCAGGTTTTTCTGGGGCATCATTATCTTTTGAATAGTACAGTACTGTACTTCGAAATTGGTACAGTATATTTTTTGGCATGTTATTTGGTGTAAATGGTGTGTATTTTTTTTATGCATTGCTGCTCGCAGGTATTCTGATCAGAATTTACCGGACTTGGGATACGATTACCCGAATGTGGACGAGTGAGAAATGCGTTTGGTTTTTGGCATGTCTGAAATTTTTTGGAAAAGAATGCCTTTCTTGAACATGGTGAATCATGTCAAGATATATATGTTTCAATTTTCAGCTTATTCTCTCCACTTCAAAACATTTCTTATCTTCTAGCTTACTCTCGTCTGAAATAATACTTTTCTTTTGGCATTGAAAAATATCTTGATCACAATTTCTGGGTTGTTGAGTGGTTTCTTTTCTTGGATTTCATGAAGGAAACCCCGATTGTTGGAATCATTGGGTCTGTCAGAAAGCCCCTTCAAGGATCCGTCAAAATTTGATGTTTTTTTGTCGGAGGATGAAATTAAATATAAGGAGAGAGGAGTTTTCAGAGCCTGGAGAAATTTTATGAAATGGTAAAAAAAAATTCCTTTATCTTTTCACATGTTTTGCTGATTGTATCCTCCGTTTTGGTGACGGTTTCGGTGACCTTTTGTTTGAACCGTGTGTTTAAATGTGATGCTTCATTCTTGATGGTTTTCTTTACTAGGTATGAAATGGAAGGATCTACTTCCGCAAGGAAAGCGGATTCTACTTTTGAAGACTCCCGGTTGATTTCTGCGAATGGGCCCTTTACAAAATCGGAAATTTTCAAGCAGTTCTTCAATTCAACTGGTTTGACTTCACCAAATGCTCTGTCATCTAAAATTGCGACCTTTTGTTCCTTTTTCATGGGCAAGTTCTGATTTTTTACTCTTCTTTTTCCGAGGTGATATTCCTTGAATAAGGTGAACAAAAAGATGATGCATTCTTAAACGCTGACATTTTTTAATGTTTCTAATGTTGCGTGAAACTGACACAGAAGTACAGTATATCAGATTTGATTTGGTGATTATCTGAAAAAGAATTCCGTGAAGCCGGAAAAATGCAGAAATTCGCCTACATTATTTAAAATATTACCTGAATTTTGTTCGGTGCTTTTAGTAAATGTATCAATATTCGTGCATTCTTGAAAATATACCAAAAGTAAAATGATTTTGGTATGACTCAATGCAAGTGACTCAGGGACATCTACCCTCTATGGAAATTATTGCAGTAATTTTGTGGACAATCTATGTCGCTCCAAAATTCATTGGTGTTCATTTTCAATTATGTCATGGCGTATACAAGAAAGAGAATTTGTGAAGAACTTTATGAAAAATGATTTATTTCAACAGGATTGTGTTTCATTGGAGTCAATGCTTTGCTCATCTTTCAAGAAGATTCCATTACTGGAAAGAGCGATGCAAAATGGCCCATTGTGTTTCTGGTCATTTTTATTTTCCTTTCCTTGCTCATGCTCTTTGCAATTTTTCGTCAGCCAATGAGTCCACAAAAACTCAACTTCAAGGTTTGTCGTCATCTGAGGGCTTCTGTTACGATTCAGCATTTATTTTCTTGGTCTTAATCTTAACATTGGTTTTCATTTTGATTAAGGTCCCGTTGGTGCCTTTTTTGCCGGCTCTTAGCATGTGGATCAATATTTACTTGATGATGAAGCTCTCGGACAAAACCTGGATTCGCTTTTCTGTCTGGATGACACTAGGTGAGTTTTACAAAATTGATTTTTTTTTTAGCTGGAAAACTAACATCGTGTCTATAACTCCTGTACATCTTGCATGATGGCCTGAGGATGCCCAGAAAGGAAATACTGTAACTTGTTCGCTGTGAAAAAAGAAACGTTTCCTTATTTTTTTTTCAGAAAACTTCTTGACACAATTAGGTGATGAAGTCCCAATAATTTGATTAAAATCAAGCCAAAATGTTTGGCTTTCAAAATTTTCCGAGCATTTTTTTTCATCATTTGTGAACTTTCCTTGGATCAATTGAATGCAACTTTTTTGACAATCTTTGTAATTTTCTGCTTAGCTTTTTGTTTATTATCTCACTGTACATGTATGATCGGACTTGTTTTGGAAGCTAGAAAAAAAAGTCATTGTGTTAAACTTGGTGGCAATAAGAAATGCTTGGAAATTTAAATTTTTGAAAAATGAAAATTCGATATCTTTTGACTTTTTTGAAAGAGATGAATCAGCAACCGGTTTTGAGATTTTTTGCTAACTTCGTTTGTCCTGACTCCTGGTTATGATGCCATTGTCATTAAGTTGTCTCGCTGAAGTCCTGAAATAATATGCTTTTATTCCTCGTAGATCTAATTGCTATTGAAAATTTCATTTATCTAGTCCCCAGACTTTAACTCACTGCTGTACCTTCGAAGTTGGTTTGATTTCTTCTTCTTCCTTTCTTTCCCTCTCTTGTGCTTGTTTTTCTGCACGTTTTGCACGGTTTCGCTTGCGCAAAAAAACATAAATAAACCACTAAAGGCCTGCTGGTTTACATCTTCTACGGAATGTGGCACAGCACTGAAGCCAAGAAAAGCGACGATATTGAATCCAAAGCCCGAGAAACTTTCAGGGATACATACATCCTCGACGGGATCGAAAACGGGGGTTTCGTCGCGGACGCGAAACCCGAAGAGCCCAAAAAACTGGAATCCATCAACGTCGGTGTCATTAATTACGAAGAAAACGAAGATCGTGAAGTGACGAGTATTTTTAGGCCACCTGAGAAAAGTGCAGTTGCGCTGCAAGTGCAGCCAAAGCAGCGTCACAATAAGGCCTTGAATCAGCAGCTGAAGAATAAATTAATTCAGTTGCCGGAAATCAAAGTGATTGGAGCCACGCCGCCGCGGGAAGTGATGGCCGGAAGAGGGCAAAAGAAGCGGAAGTCCGTCGTCGACCTGGGTGAAGGGTGGAGCGAAAGAGCCGACGGATCCGAGGAAACAGTCGACGTTGACGACTTGCATCAGCACATCGTTGATTGCATCAATGGGGATGGTAATGAAGACCAAAGAGGACAAGAGTTGGCCCAGAAAACCCTGGATGCTATGGAAGATGAAGATGAGGGAGAACTCATCGAAACTAATTTGGGGTCCATTACTGAATCGAGTGGCGGCGGTTCTTCGATTTCTAGCGACGAAGCGGAAGCTTTGAGCCAGTGAGTTGTCAATACATTGACAAAAGAATAAAAATATTAACCTACAAGGGGTCGAACTAATGTTCTCGGAATCGAAAATGAAACTGCATGCGATCGAGCTGAAAAAAAAAACGATTATTCGGAAGAAACATTCTTTGGCACTAGAATAAAGTTCAGCCCAGTTTGAGAAAATTTCTTCCGAAAATGTTTTTCAGCAGTCACCCTGGCAGCTTTCTGCTCTTCGCCTGAAAAATGAGGCCCCCATAATTTTTGGTGTACCCCAGTTTTCTTTTCATAATTTTTGGGATTGGTATGGTCCGTCGTCTTTCCTTGCTTAGACCAAGTTGGAAATCAAAATTTCAATTTAAAATTCGCGTTACTCAGCAACTTTGCAGACACAATTTTTAGAAACAAAATGTTCGATGCATTTTCAAAATACAGAATTTTTTGGAAATGCGCCTTCAAAATCTTAATTATTCAAAGTTCCTTGAGAGACGCCAGGAAAATTTCATTCGTTCGACTCCATACTTTCAATTGTGTATCTCTCAAAATTTGTTCAAATTTGATTCATTATTATTAATTGCAGATGGACCTCGGGAATCCATTCGCGAATATCTGGTTCTTTCGAGGACCCAGAACTAGAACCCGGGAACTCGGACTCGGGTTTCGAGTCCCAACTTCTGTCTCTTCACAGCTGATAGCTAGTCAGGTAGTTGCTAGGTTTGAAGCTGAGTCGACGGGCCTTATTTTTCGATAGACTAGTTAAGGAGCGCCGAGAACTCGTTGTGTAAGTCGGGTAGTTTCTCCTCTTCAGACGACTAAAGATCCCGGTTGCAGCCCCGAGGATCAGCAAAGATCGCAATCGTGTCATCAGTCCTATTCAAGACCAGTACAAGCTGGCTAATCAACACGGCCTCGTCTTGCTTCACTTTGACGGAAAGAAGATCTCGCCGTTTCTTGGCTCGGATGTGGAAGTCATGGCTGACAAGGAGTCTTCTCAGCAGGGGCCCACGGATTTGGAGGAACTGGTTGAAGCCATTCAGACGTGTTTGGACGAGGGACTCAATACGAGCATCGGTGCATTGAGAGGCAAAACCATAGCTTTGATTCAAATGCGTCGCGATTTCGACGCTCTTCAGGATCCCGAGTTTTCGAAGAAAACAGAAACAGTTGTTGCTGCTGACCTAGGGGGTTTGTTAGGGAGCGAAGGGGGGCTGAAAAACGTCTTCAACTCACTTTGACACAACTCTTCAGTGCTCTCTTATCAAGTCAGAGTCTCGCCCCTACAACACAAACTTTTGCGACTACTAGCGATGAAAACGGGAAATGGTTTGCCCCATGAAACACCAGCGAGTCGTCTAGAAGATGGTCCGCATGATTCAAAACTGGAAAAAACATCACCGAAATACGTCACTTCTGTACAGGTCAGTAATTATCCACTCTAGAGTCTTTTCTGAAGAATTGAGAATGAATGGGATGAAGTTGCCTCATATTTTCTTGCGTTTGCTAATAGATTAGTCTGTGTTCCCCAACCTGTGTTCCAGTGTCGGTTCCCAGGGAATTTTCTTCAGCGGATAAAATGTATCAAAAGTAGCAATGTTATCTGTTATCTTTATCTGAAAGTCTGTTATCTTTATCTGAAACTCAGGAAAGACAGTGGCATTTGAAATTATTTGATGAAAAAGTAAAAGTTGGCTTTAACCGAAGCAACACCCCAGACAAATTTTCACGTGCTGAAATAAATTATTTCAATTTTTCATCCTCAAACCTTTCATCAAGCCCACCTTTCTGATTTTTGAAGACATTCCACTATAGCTGCTTCATTGGTTCTTAACTTAATTTTTGCAAAAAGGAAGAAATTTTTCAAATACCTGCCATAAAGTCTTCTAAACGAAACATTCTTGAGTCTGCAAAAATTTTATGAAACTTTGGCAGTGTTCAGAAAATTTATGGAAATTTGCCTTTCTGTGGGCCCAAACATGTTGGGGAAACACTGGATTAGTGTATAATAGTTGTGTTAAATTGAGAAGCTCAGATTCGGCTTTGAACTCAGTTCAGTGAACATCTATTCAAAAACGGGTAAATATCACGAAAAAAAACATTGGATTAACTGAGTTTATGTGCATCTATTGTCCAGATAGTGAAAGATGAAGAGCCAACAAAGAACCCGCCAGTTGCACCATCAGCCGTATCTCCTCCTGAAGTCAATGTTCGTGAGTTTAGACGGCGTTGGTTCCGAGAGCTCTTTTGGTGGCCACAAAAGTTCTTTTTCGGGGCGCTTCTTGTTTAGTTCGGTTGGAGTAAGTTTTGCGGCGGAGGCTTTTTCATGGGCAACCAGCGCAATGCTTCCTTCGATGTGATCGCTCCTGGAACTCAGGACTCTCCCTTGGCCAGGAAAGTGGATTCCAAGTTCACTGTAATCCCTCTGTCCAAAGAAAACCACAAAGAAGAAGATGACAAAAGTAGTAGTGGTAGCAGCAGCAGCAGCAGCAGCAGTGAAGAAGAAGATGATGAGATGCCCAAGCGTCAGTCTCTGCTTGCCATAAAGGCAGCTCTGCATGGCGGTAAACTTCCACCACCACCGCCTCCGCCGCCACCACCACCACAACAATTTCCTCCTCCTACACAAGGTGCTGCCGTGACCTTGTCGAAGAGCCCTGTGAGATCAGCGTCTGCTTCTAAACCCGGTTTCACGCCTCCATCAGCAGAAGACCTGCTGGAAAGGAAGAAGGGACTCGCGAGAGCACCAGTTCGCCCGAAATCCTTTTCAATCAAGATCGACCTTGCCAATAAGAAGCCCGAGCCGGAACCGGCGAAATTGGCACCAATCGTTGATGAGGACAACCGTCAGCAGGAACCCAAGCAGCAGAAATTCTCAGACCTTATTTCCCGTTTCCAGAAATAACGGATGTGATTGCGTCAACCCTGGACTAGTCTCAATTTTTATGGAGAGAGAAAGAGAAAATGCGGGTTCCATCTGTTTTAATCATTTGATATTCGAAAGGGCATATTTTGGAACGAAAGTGATGTTTCAGCACATGTTTTTGTGGGATTTTGTTTGTGGGCTAAATCTGTGATGAATGTGGATCAGTTTTCAATTCGAAGTGCCTCAGTTACTTGCTTGCCTTCAGGTTCTATGGAACTGTGATTTGCCAATTTATTTTTTGCTGCATGGAAAGAAAAGCTTGTTTCATTATTCTCGCACTGCAAATGCATGTCACTCCTGTAACAAAACTCACTGCTTTTGCCTAACACATGAACTTCAAGGCGACCTCTTACCAATTGGGTGTCCTTTTTTTCCGTCGAATAAACGTACGACTTATTCACTTGGCCTCTCTGATATTCTATGACTATTTTTTTGAACAGTTTTTCCGTGGAAAGCGTTGAGTCTTCAAAAAACTGTCTATATTCCACTGCTGTATTTTGTTCCCAGGGTTTATAATTTACTCGACCTATGGATATTGGAATAGCTCAGAGCAGGAAAGAGCGAGCGACGAATCGGAAATGGATGCCAAGAAAAAGCGGGCTTTTCAGATGTATGGCGAATCTTACGAAACGGCGTCCACGTCGGCCAAATCAAGGTGTGTTGGGGACGCTTCTGCTCTTGTCGACAATGTTGACTATGACAGCAGCTGTGAGCAAGAAACTTATCCAGGCTGAAATCGACTTAATTTCAGTACAGTAATTATTCTTTGTTTGGAGATTTCAATTTTTTTTTCAATGAGTTTTGGGTATTTTTGCGGATATTGTTGGTCTCACTTGAGTGGAAAGGGATTATTGCCACTTTGCGTTTTTTTGCAATATTTGGGGTTAAAAATTCTAAAACAAATTTTGAGTTACCACTAGAAATACGTAATTTAATTTGAATGAGGTGTCCTAGGAGTTAATGTGAAGTGAGAAATGATATTGAATTTTTTCTGGAGTACAGTATTTCATTCCAGACAAGTTGTTTTCACCCATTGATGTGATTTTGTGTTAGATCGCCGTCAAACATTCCTAAGCTAGCATATTTTAAGATTAAAATGTTCAATTAATCCCTGAATTTGACTTGAGACGGGATTCTACTCAAATTCCCTCAAGTTCAACGCTCTTAACAAAACAGGAGTTTTGGGGTCAAACATCCGTCAGTCAAATTTAAAGTCTTCTTGTTATTACTGTACTTTATTTACTTGAGTACCTCGTGTCCTTGTGTAAGACATGCACCAGGATTCTTCAGTTGAGAGGTTCGATATAATTTCATAGTCAATAAATAAGACACCATTTTTAGTGACTTTAAAACCAAAATATTTTAAAGTTAAGAAGAAGCAAATTTTAATTTAGGCATGCATTGATCCTGAATTCAACTGACTTATCAATTTTTTCATTTGAAATTTTTTATTAAAATCAATTATAATGCACTCCTAAATTTTTACAACTTTAAAAAATCCATGCTTGCCTGTAAAGTGAATTTTCAGTTTTCTTCTATAATTTAAGGCAAAAGGTGCTTGTGGAACTCAAGCAAATATGATGGTTACATCATAGGGGCTGCATTTTAGAAACAGTATCATAGAAAACTAAGAGAACTTGAAAATGTTTTTTATTTATGCTCTCTTCAAAAGATGGGCATGTTATTCCAACATATAGTGCATTTTATGAATAGAGAACAGTTATAATAATTCGGCCAAAATATTTTCACTTAGTCAGCCTCCCCAAAATGAGTAGAATTCCCTGAATTGTCAATTTTTGGAGTCCCTTCAAATTTGACAATGCGATTCTACTCCAATAGCTCACTGACGTATGTTCTGCAATTTTAAATGTACAATATTAAAAATTACATTTTAACTCAATATAAATTGTACGCGTATCATTTTTTGCTGCACAGTAACTTTAAGACACCCTAACAAAATTTTAAAAGTTGCTGAAAGCGCTCAACAATCATCCTCATATTGAAGTGTGTCGAGAAAACTCCATTCTGACCATCCGAAGATATGTTTGAGATGAGATCAATGAACTTATGGCGCAAAATATGCATTCTTTACTGAGAGAAGTTTCGTTTCCCTCAGTACCTGAACCAGCGTTGATGGCCAAACGCTTAAGAAAGCGGGAAATTTCAATCAACGAAGTCTTCTGTGGGTACGCTGGACGGTACTTGAGGTATTTCTAAATATAATGGAGTGCTTTGTTGTGCGCAGTCCCTGGCCTGATAATCATCTATAGCAACGTGTGCTTTCACTTTATCTATAGATGAAATATTTGTCCAAAAATCCCGCTTTCTGACAAACGCGGCTTTACCAAATGTGGATGTTTAGATTGGCTAACCAAGTATATTTGATGTGGAAATGAATATAGATGTGCTTAAGAAAATATGGAAATCTACTTATTGGAGTGCTTGAGTATCTTGCATGGAGGTGGGCTTTTTTTTTAATTTACACCGTTTTTTGCAGTTTAAACTGGATAACTCAAACCCACCATTGTAAAAAAAAATTCCTTGTCCCTTATGGGTAACTATTACATGAACAAAGGAAAGCATTTTCTTTTCAAAATTTACACTGCCGTCCACCCTGCTTTGTACATAAATAAGTCAAACCTACCAATGTAAAAAAAAATTTCAAATGCCAGTGTAATTTATCTTGAAAATTATATATTTAAAACCAACATAAGTCAAGATCTTTTTCTCTCAAACCTCCATAAATAAAATGTATTGGAGGCCTTTGGCAACTATTGTATTGACAAAGGAAGCAAAAAGAATGTAACCTGATGCATTCTGAAAGGAAGTGTAGGACTAATTGGGCAAATAAACCTGTGCCTCCAAGTTTGGATCCTGTCAACTCATTCAAATTGCAATTTAAGACCAGAATATCATCAATGCCAATTTCTGGTAATTCTCTTCCCCAATAAAAATGCATGTCCCTCAGCCAGAAACTAAACTCACATCTTTTTGGTGGCCCTTTAAAGGTTGACTTGAAGAGGTATGAATGAATTCAAAAATAAATCATTTTATGTGCTGCATATGTATGCTGATTTACTATCACAGCTGCTGTGTTTGATTCACTTTTTGGCTTTTCACATTCACTGCACTTCTTGTTCAATTTCTACCTCATTCATTTTGGCAATGGAGAATTTGGTGAAAGTTTTTTGAAAATATATTTTCATGGTTGTTTTCTGAATCACTGCACTTCTGTGTGACATTAGCCAGAAGCACAAAATGGTTGGGAGTTTTTTTTTGTGTGTGGAGAATGATTTCCATTGCTGTAAACACCTAAGCATGTTCAGACATAAAAAATCTTCCTTGAATACATTTTTGGGGCTTTGAAAAATTACGAAAGACGCACTTTTTATTTGTTTACCAATATTTTGAGGAGTTTTCTTCAGATCATTATCTGAATAAAAACGCCTTTTCGTTGATTCTCTGAATATTTGTTCTACATTTCCCCGCCAATTTCAAAGCATTCTCTAAGTTTTGACGCATGCCAAAAGTAATAAAAAATCCTAATTATTGTAATCTTTTGGGTTTGCTCATTTGCTAAAAGAACAGGATCATTTATGACTTCCTTTTTCCGTAATACTGTACTCATGTACTGTATAGATGCAAATGTACCTATACCAGCATAAATTTACTGAAAGTGCTGCGCTGCTATTAAAATTATCCATCAATATCTCAGCAATAACTTCGAATCTTTTCTTGCAGAGTTTTTGTGGGCGCTGCGTGAGAGTGAATTTTTTAGAAATAATTGTTCAATAAAATAGATACAGTAGTGAGTTATGAACTACACGAGGTGTGACAAATAATTGTTCTCAAAAACGCGTACCTCTTTTGATCTTTCCTTCATGGTTTTGAAGCTAACGTTTCGCAATTGTTGGGTTTTTCTTCTCTGATCCGACGAAGTATTCCCGTGGTTCCCTTCGGTTATATCATTGTTAATCCTTCAGTGTTTAGTCCTCTTTCCCTTGTAATGTACACATATGAATCATTCTCATGTGGCAATGCCTCACATTTATGGGGATGTTTCGTGGAAAGATAATGATGGAAAACCGAACCTGATTTCTTGGAATGTAAGATTTCCATTGTTAATCCTCTCTTCGGGCCCGGTGAAAGTTTGATCCCGTTGTGCATGGATTTTACATTTATTCGAAATTTCCATCGCTGCATTCTGCTCAGGTGAAGTTGAAACTTTCCATTTTTCTGTGTTCAGCTTTCTCTCACATCCTGCTTTTCTTAAGCTCACATACGAGGTCCAGAAATTTATTTCAAGTAGGAGACATCATAGTTTTACAATGGCCGCAATCTAAATTGAAGAGCATATACAGCAGTTGAACCTCAATAACTCAAAGTCAAATACTGTACCTCATCCAAATGTCAAATTTTTTACCATGTCTGAATTCCCTTAGAAACATTGCATTTAAAACTCCCTAACTCAAAGTCGAAGACTTCTAGCCTAAAAAAAACTGCCGTATATAACTCAAATTTTATGGAGGCCTTTGGTTATACCATTTTATTGACAGGTAACAGAAACGCAATAAAAATTTAGCTTTTTGTGTTTTGAATAAAGAGGATGTGAAAAACTTTGATTATGGGCAGATGAACCCTTGCTAGCAAATTCAGAATCCTGTCAACTCATTTAAGAAGCAATGTAAGGTCTGAAATATCACCTATTACAAAGTCCTGTAATTATTTTATTTTCCGCAACAAATAAATATTGCTTCCTTAACTGGAAACTTCCCTAAGTTGATTTGTTTTGCTGGTCTTTTGAAGTTTAACTTGAAGAGGGTTGACACTGCATAAGGATATCGTGTATGTACTGCACTCATTAGAAGAGGGACAGAGCTCAGCTGTGATAGAAATGTTAGGACTGTTTGAAGTTGAACACAATTTTTAAAGGCAGAATTAATAATAAATAATTTATTAGTTTTCAAAAATTCGATTCGGAACCTAATGGAAACCGGTAGTATGTCACTGATACCTCAGATCATGACTAACAAAAAGAGCATCATAAGTGGATGAGTCACCCATTCAAAATCAAAATCCCTTTACTGTGCTGATGCATGGCTGACAGTGATATCTGTCCGCCATAAAAAGGGTTCAATTTCAATGGGCCACAGAGAGGAAATTTCCCTTGTACTGTAGCAGTGTGAGGAGTATAAAACTTATCTGCGATAAACAGAGCAAGTGCTGTATTTTAATTTCTACGTAATTTAGCCTTAGGTTACGGATGCACATCCATTTTCAAAATACTAAAATGTGGTTTTCAGCATACATAAGATTCTTTTGGGCTCATCAACTTCGCTCATTCCAAGAATCTACGATACTAGATTCAAGCTGGAAACTCTAGGATAGAATGCCATCTTGGAAAGGACATCCTTGTCTACTATTAGAGGAAAGGTCGCACCAGTGGTAGTTGCGGTACCAAAGATCCGCTGAGTATTGTACGGGGGCTTAGTAACACAGCATTATAACACGAGGAACAACTCGGGACAAGAAGATGGGCAGGAAGTTCTTGGATAGTCTGGTGCGACGCAAGTACATGAACCCCGATGAAATGGTGGAAACTTCGTTGAAGAGAACACTCAATGCGCTGGATCTGACTTTGTTGGGGATCGGAAGTACGTTAGGAGTGGGTGTTTATGTGCTGGCTGGAGATGTGGCTAAAAACACGGCGGGACCCTCTGTTGTGCTGAGCTTTGCCATTGCTGCGATTGCGTCGGTGTTCGCGGGTGTGTTACTGTATTGCAGTTTTTCTACGCATTCGAATAGTATATACAGTACATTACTTCTATCGGCTGAATCACCGAAGCTCAGCAAACGAAGTTCTAAATACAGTACAGTATTTTCGAACATACTGTACTCTGATGCATTCCGAACGTCGCAATACGATAGAAAACTGCGACACTAGGAGTTTCTTTATTGGATGTATATGGAACAAGTGTAACATTCGCGGGTATATTTTGGTAAATTTTGAAAATAATCGCTGGTATCGCATTCAGATGGCGTAAGGAGATTGCAATCAAGTCCGAATTCAGTTTTCCCGCGTGTAGATAGTGCGTAGATTTGTTGACGATGAGAGCCTCAACTGTAGTATGTAAACTTCTCCGCACTTTAAAAAATATCGCGAGTGAACGAGAATTTAAAATCTGGGCCGGAGTGTTTGAGTTTCTCATCGCTTAAACGTGGAATCGGTAGAAAGGCCAAGTTATTGTTCGTCAAATGGTAATAATGGGAGCAATCATTACGCAATAACGCGGTAACGTGAATTCATTGCTTGATACGCATGGAAAGTTCAAGAAATTCCTCAGAAACAATGGTATCTGCTTGCAAGGATTCCAATATTTTATGGATTTAAGGGTTTTGTTACGCTGAATTTGGTGCTCGGGTGCCACGAGCTGGTTCTGCGTACATTTACAGTTACGTCTGTGTCGGTGAGTTCATTGCGTTCATCATTGGATGGACTTTGATCCTGGAATACATGATTGGTGAGTTAATTTTTACATTTACCACGCGTACCGTCGCAGAGTATCATCCTAATTATTAATTATTTGTTCAGGTACTGCGAGTGTTGCGAGAGGATACAGTAATTACTTGGACGCTCTGTTCAACAAGAAAATGCAAGCGGCCTTTCATGAAATCACTCCAATTCACGAGTGGATCGATAACCCGACAGTCGCTGAATACCTCTCCCCTTACTTGGACTTCTTCGCCTTTGCGATTTGCGTATTCTTGACTTTGCTGCTATGTTTCGGCGTGAAGGAATCGTCCAAGTTCAATAGCGTGTTTACTTGCTTGAACTTGTTGGTAGTCGTTTACGTCGTCATTATAGGAAGCATCAACGGTATACAAACTATAGAGTATAAAGTGCACTTGTTATATTCTGACATTAGCTTGCGATGCACAAATCTATGTAATATATTTGATTGAATCAGCAAAAGTCAAGAACTGGCAAATCAAGCCTGAGGAAGTTCAAAATCCTGGGAATAAGTTGGATATTGGCGACGGAGGTTTCTTCCCTTTCGGGATCAATGGAATGTTGTCTGGTGCAGCAACTTGTTTCTACGGGTTTATTGGATTTGATTGTGTTGCTACGACAGGTAAGAGGATTCCAGAACACATTTATCTCATAAAATATTGATTTTTACCGCTGCACACCGATCCATACGAAAGACAGAGCTTTTGAATGCTATTCTAGGAAAGATTGCCATTACTGTGTAACATTCTTAAGAATATTTTTCCAAGTGTTTCGGGAGATGAAATAAGTCATAGGGAATGCAAATAAAACACCAGCAGAAGCTATGATTTATAGATTCCCTGCTGAATACAATCTGGAAATATCCTCCTCTAACATATATTCAATGAAGTGAGTTTAAAGATTTCTTGCGTGAATTGAAATTGTAGGATAATGTAAGTGAAACAATGGGATGTCTGTTTACGATGCTGCAGAAAAAAAACTACGCCGATGGGGGTATTTTCTAAAATGGTTTGACTTTTTCGTGAATCTTAGCATTAAAATGTGGAATTACATTCAAAACATTTTTAATCCTCATTTGGCTTTTGTAACTATGCTATATAACTCAATTTTTATTGATTCCCAGATTGAAAACTGACGCCCGAAAAAATGAATCCATTTGATTCAGCACTGATTCAGCCGTAGTTTTTTTTTTTAACCCTACTCCATGTCCGGAAGGGATTTCATATGTTTTGATCACAATTCACAAACTGAAGGATGAACTTCTGGGGAGACTTTTTCTGAAACATGCGATGCATTCATGTTAACAGTACTCCAAAAATAATTCGATTCAAGTATTTTGATGCTTGATTTTTTATTTATTTATAGTGCTTCAAAATACTGCAAAATCCTTATTTAATAGAGCTTATGGCGTGAAATACTTATTAAAATGTCCGCCCAGCATTTTCAAAAGTCCAAGAAATATGGTACAAAAATCTTGCTTGAATATTAAATTTACGGTATGTTCAATATTGCCATGCATCAGAATTTCAGACTTTTTTTCTGATCGGAATTATGAAGTGAAGAGATTCTCAAGACTTTGTGTGAATAGGTGAAGAAACCAAGAATCCGCAAAGGGCAATTCCTATTGCAATTGTGGTATCCCTGACATTCATCTTCTTGGCCTACTTTGGGGTCTCCACTGTACTGACCATGATGTGGCCTTACTATGACCAGGATCCCTATTCTCCCTTGCCTACTGTATTTGAGGCTATTGGTTGGTCTTCTGCAAAGTGGGTTGTGTCAATTGGTGCTTTATTTGGCCTATCAACAAGGTATAACTTTCAAGTTTGTAAGACTTCTGGAAAGCTTTAACTGTATTGAGTTCCATGCACCCTTGAGTAAGACTTGCATTGCAGTAAAAAATTAACCCAAAATGGGCTAATTTTCTTGGCAAAATTGGCTCAAAAAACTATCCACATCAGATGAGACTGAAACCCCACATTTTGTTGACTGAAAATTATTTTTTTCAACATAACAATCTCACAAGTGAATAGAAAGCATAAAACATGGAATTGGTGCTGAACATAATTTATATCCTTTTTTGATGACCCATTTTCAGTCTAAGTGGGTTAATAAGATTCTTCATTATTTTTTAAAGAATAAAAAAGCTACCAGTGTTACCTGAAATCTTGCAATGACTGTTGGCGCACATTGAAGATGAAACCAAAAAAGTTGAGGAATAACTAAAGAAGTTGAACTTCAGATGGTTGGGTAAAATATAAAACTGGAATACAGCAACATCCAACTACTTACATGTGAAAAATTTTCCTTGAAATGTTCGGATGAAGTATGGAAATTAATTTCGTATGTGGGTTGAACACTCGGGGAGAGAAAAGGTCATTAATATTTGTTGCTCATGATTCACTGATCAAATTTTGAGAACTCGCAAAGATAAGTAATTAGAAAATACTGATAGGGAAACTTGAATTCAAAGTATGCATTGTAAGTGGGTCTTTCTTATTCTTTCTTTGTTTTTTTTCAGTTTGTTGGGAACTATGTTCCCCCTTCCAAGGGTTGTCTATGCAATGGCAAATGACGGACTGATTTTCCGGTGCTTTTCCAAAGTCAATGCCAGGTTTAAAACCCCGGTGATAGCAACTCTAGTTTCTGGAACATGCGGAGGTATGGATTTTTCTTCTGCGATAATTGTGATCAATGAGACTTTTGGATGGGTCTTTTTTGATCATTTGTTTCGGTTTGCGCAGGAATCCTAGCTGCGATTTTTGAACTTAGCTCGTTGGTGGACATGATGTCGATTGGAACTTTGTTGGCTTACACTCTGGTCGCCATGTGTGTCTTGATTTTGAGGTGATTTGATAGCCTTTTCTTTTCTGTTTCTCGTCAAAATTTAAATCTGGAAATTCTATACAATTCAAGAATAGCAAATGCTTTATAATGTGTGTTGGGCCTTACATAATAGGGTGAGTGGTTTGTTCATAATACATGGCTTTTCTATTAAGAGTTGAACCTCTTCAGGGAACGACAATACAATTCTAGTCATGGATGCTTTGAGTTTGGGAAATACGCATTTTTGCTGGGGAAGATGAAAAATGATTACAGGAAATTGTAATTATTGATATTTTCGACCTTAAATTGCTTCTTGAATTAATTTCCAGGATGCTGATTACAGAGGCAAGGGGTCATTTGCTCCAGTAGTCCTTCACTATCTTTCAAAACAGATCAAGTTGAATTTTTATTGCTTTTCTCTTCCCTGCTGCATCATTAAAATAATAGCCAACAGACCTCCAGAAATTTTTAAATGCAATGTTTTTAAGGGAATTCAGACAGGGACTTGAAAAATTTGACTTAGAAGGATTCAATTAATGAGGTTCAACTATGTATACACTCACCAAAACTGATGAAAGTTGACATCTGTTTGACAGACACTGAAACCGAAGTTGTAAGGATCAAAGAGATTTTTGCAAAGTGTGGAAAAATTTTCTGAAAAACGTTGCACAACTACTGTACTTGAAAATTGATTTTCCACATTTACTTTCAAATTTGTGAAGTATTATATATTAGTTGTCTTGGTGAATTTTGTTGCTGAGTTGATGCTGATTGTGCAATTTTTGAGGTATGCCTTACTTGCTTGAAAATTTTATGTTGTGGGTTCATACGTGCATTGTGCTTATTTCTTGGGTTCTCCCGATACTAGGTATGAAAAAGAGGGATCTTCATTCGAAAGGAAAACGGATTTTACTCTTGAGGACTCTCACCTGAACGGACCTTTTTCCAAATCAGACATTTTGAAGCAGTTGTTCAACTTACCACGATTGGCATCACCAAATTCCCTGTCATCTAAAATTGCAACCTTCTGTTCCTTCTTCATGGGCGAGTTTTAATTTTTGTTTTCATAGCTATAATCCTGCCAGAAGTATTCCTAAATTTTGAATTGTGAATATCAGTGACATATCAATTTTAAAACACGTTTTCAGAGGGTATGCAAAGTAAGAGACTGTGTATTCATTTTTCATATGGATTGTACAATTTTCATTGCGCTGGTACTTTTTCACCCCCTGTACATTCAGAATTTTGTGTTCAATATTCTGAAGTTTCTCTTCTACTCAGTTGAGAATACAGTAAGGAAGAGGTGTATTATTCAAAAATATCATCTTCAACAGGAGTGTGCTTCATTGGAGTCAATGGCATACTCATCTTCCAGGAGGATTCAATTAGTGGAAAAAGTGATGCAAAATGGCCCATTGTGCTTCTGGTCATTTTTATCCTGATGTCTTTAATCACAGTTGTTATAATTTCTCGCCAGCCGATGAATAAGCACAAACTACACTTCAAGGTTTGTTGTTTCCTGAGCCTTGTTTTAGACTGCTCAAATTGATATATTTGTGTTTTTGGTCATTTAACGTTGGTATTTGATTTCAATAAGGTCCCATTGGTGCCATTTTTGCCTGCTGTGAGCATATGGATCAATATTTACTTAATGATGAAATTATCAGATAAAACCTGGATCCGCTTCTCTGTCTGGATGATACTTGGTGAGTGTGACTGCATTGATCTTATCTCTAAGATTAGCTTAAAGTTAATAAATCATGTACAGTATGTATTACGTCTTACAGGATGGCAATGATTTGAAAATTCCTGAATGTGCATCTTCGTGAATTTTTTTGGATTGTTCCAATTTATTGATTACCATATTTACTCAAGTACCGCGCGCCCTCAAGTAAGGCGCACACAGGGGTTTTTCTGTTGGAAATTTGGCTAAAATCTTATCCACAAGTAAGATGCGCACCCCAATATTTAGTGATTCTAAAACCACAAAATTTAGAAAATAAAAACAAAAAATTGACCATAGACATAAATTGAACAAAAATCTGATCAATTTTCAACTTTTTCTGTACAAAAAAGTTTTTTTGTTACATTTTTTCCAAATTTCTCCCTTATAACTAAGTATAATGCTCACATAACTTCTTAAAACTTCTTGAAAAATGTGTACCCACTTATGACGCACACCCCTTTTTTCTTTCGAAATTTGAGAAAAAGGTGGTACTTGAGTAAATACGGTACTAGTTTGTCTTGTTTGTTTGAAGTTTAAAAGAATGTGCTGCAGGCTGTATCAAACAAGGAGACAATAATGATGAAAAGTTCTACAGGCAAGGGAATTTCTTGTTTGTAAATTTATGTATTTTAAACTTCACTCGTGGTTTCCTTCATGATTTCGGAACACCCCGATATTGAAACTTTGTGTTCTAGATAATGGCTGAGGTCCTGATACATTTTTAACTGACTTCCTGGTCAAAAATGGCAAGTGGTTTACAACAAAAATATGATGCTATATTTGAATTACAATATTTCAAAATTAGATTTCATTTCCACTTAATCTTTATTTAGACCTATTGTTGTTTGATGTTTAATTTGTTCTACAATTCAAACAAAGTTGATTTGATTTTTTATTCTGTTCTTTCCCTCTCCTTGACCTGCTCTTTTTCTGCATGATCTGCACGGTTTTGCTTGCGCCAAAAAAAAACTACAAAAGGCATATTGATGTACTTCTTGTATGGAATCCGGCACAGTAACGAAGCTAAGAAAAGAGACGATATTGATGAATCCCAGCAACCAGGAGAAACTGCTGGGGATTCCAATGTCATTGAAGGGGCTGAAAACGATGTTACACTTGCCGATGGAAATGATGCAAAACTCGGAGAAATCAAAGGACCAGAATCTCTCAACGTTGGTTCCATGAACAAGGAAGATAATGATCGGGACAAACAGACAAGTACCTTCAAGGCGCTTAGAAAAAGTGCAGTCATTGGCCTTCAAATGCTGCAGTCAAATCAGCATAAAAATGATGGAATCTCTGATGAGCCTCCGAAGAACATCAAATTGACTCTGTTGCCAGAATTGAACATGAATGAAACACGTATGCTGTCGCAGGAAGTGATGACCGGAAGAGGTCAAGGGAAGCGCAAGTTGGGCGTCAAGTTGAGTGAAGAAAGGAGCAAAACATTCGTCAGACCCAAAATAGGAACAGTCGACAATCTGATGCTCAAGCACATTTCTGATTTCATCAATCATAGAAATGATGAAACAAGTGGAGACTGGGAAAGACTGCAGCCATTGGATGTTATGAGAGAAGAAGATCAAGAAGGCCACATCATTGATCAAAATTGGAGGCATTCAGCCAAATCTGGTGTTGGATTTTCAGTTTCCAGGGATGAAGCTGAAGTTTTGAGCAAGTAAGTTCTTTTTTTCTGTAGCAAAAACTTCCAGCAGCAAAGTTGTGTGCATGGAAGTCAGTAATTTTCTTAAAACTCAAATTGGATAAAATTCGCCCTTAAGTAAAATTAATTTGTTTTTGAATGCTAGGATTGATTCTTGTTGGATTTTGTCATAAACTTGTCATTTTGAAGGACACAGAAACTCACACAGATGATGTTCTGTCATGGTCACCTGTGTAACTTGGAATACAGTGTAGGAAAAAATTTATATAATCTCAAGTTGCAGGTGGATTTCTGGAATTCATTCAATAATATCAGGACCAGAATCCGGAAACTCATACTCCAATTTTGCATCCAACCTTTGGTCTCTTCACCTGGCCATGGATAAATCCATCAATGAATTGAATCTTGAATCGTTTCTGCAAAATAAGAAGCTGTCCATGCAAATCCCAATCTCTTTGCCCAGTGGATGATTCTGGAGCCCACTGATGCATCAGCATATTAATGATCTACACATATAAATGATTGAGCTTTAATCAACTATATGCTGCAACTTTTTATTTGTTGGATATTTTCTTCGCTCATTTCATAATTCAGCCCTTGGTGTCAAAATGCATCATACACTACAATGATGCGAACCTTCACAGTTCTGAGACAGTGGCAGAATAATAAATGTTTAGTCCACCAGAAAAATCATTATGCCAACAACCAAATGCTTGGACATGAATTGACCAAAATACCTCATGCAGTTTTCATTTACTACCTGTCAAAAGATATTTTTAATTTTCTTCAGGAGGTGATATGAATCTTCTTTGGTAAATATAAAAGATTTTGTATTCTTTGGTGGCATGTGATGCTGTATTTTGCAATTTACTTTCGAGATATCTCGATCACTCAGTGAATATTCCGGCAGGCTAACTAAATTCATTTGACGTGGAAATGAATATTAAATGCTTGAGAAAAATACTATATATTTCTTTGCTTATTAAAATCCTGGAGTATCTTGCATGCGAACACATTCCTCGCGAATTGCCAAAAAAAGTGTCTTTGGAAATTCCATAGTCGTCATCATTCATAACAATACTACTATCACAACTGCTGCAGTGCTTCATTTCTTCGGTTATTCACATTCAACCCACACTTCTTCAGCTTCTGTCGCGTACGTTTTGGCAAGGGAGAATTTATCGGAAGTTCTAGAATCTTCTTTTCATTTGTGTCATGAATCACAGCACCGTGTGACAATTGACACCTAACCAAAGCACGCAACGGTTGCACCAATGCATCGTACACTACAGTATTTTTAGCTAGAGCTGAAAGAATTGCAGCACCCGCTTCAACAGTAGATAAACATGCATCTGCTGGTTGTGTTCTGATGACGTATTCGCTTATACTTGAGGACTGGATCTTCACTTTCGGGATGTTCCACAAGGCTGGACTCCTTGAATATATGGATCTGAATATATAAAGGACATTTTCATCAAGTTGATTTTAACTCTCTTAAAGTTGAACCTGAAGAAATTTGGGGAATTTTTTTAAACAAAACTGGTTACAGTCAACCCTACGATTTAGTGCCACAAATCGCCCTGGTACAAATTTCTCTCCATGATGTTCTTAAAACCCCAATTTGGTGCCACAAAAGTAATAATTGTCACGTTTTAAAATTGGGTCAAAATCTTTCAAAGGATATAATGTTGATCTACAGTATCTGAGAATCGCTCTCCCAGCACTCTTGCATAATTATTGTTAGTTTGAAAATCCAATATATTCTGCTTTGATACATATTTCGAAATACATTACAAAAACTGTACATTTGAGCTTCAAATTATTTTTTTAGGCTTTTCCTCTTATAAAACAGACTGACTGGCCGAACAATTCTGTTAATGAGCTATCCTGACTACAATGGAAAACCTCAACTGAATCTCCATCTCATGCAATACCATCAACTTAGTGCCACAAATTGTGGCACTAAATCGAGGTTTGGACTGTACCTAACTTTGTTGTAGGATTAATATAGAAACGAACCTTGCTTGTGACCATGTACCATCCAACATGACCACCACTGTGCTACTGGACGGATCAATATTTTCAATGGACTTGGCGTCTTCACAAGGATACAGCAACACAAACTCATGACCCTTCAACTTTTCCATGTAACCAGCCACAAACGCATTTGTGAATCTCCTACCAACCACAATCTCGCAGGTTCCCGCTTTAGTGCCATGAACCAACATGGGTGCAGTTTGCAATCTCTTTTTCCCTGTAAATTTATACATATCATGCGATCAAAAGAAACTCGAAAAAGCCCACTAAAACAAAAAGCGTACTCACCCTCTCCGGGGTGCTGAAGGATGAGAACTTTGTGATTGCCCACATCAACACAAGGCGTAGGAAGAAATGAACACCAGCAAGTCGAACATGGTCGTCTGCAAGTGGAACACGTGTCACGTTTTGTCCGTGTCACAAACGAATCCAAATGACCCTCGGAAGCCCATTCAGATAAAAAGTCCGTCATTTCAGACCTACACAAATGAAACGGGGGTCATACGATGGAACAGCCACTAATTCGGGCAAAAAGCACAACATGATCGCAGTCCTTAACAAAAGTTAAACTTTTAATGCAACAATTTTTACAAAAAGTACGGATTCAAGCACTTTCTGGAATACTTTCAGGTCACACAAAAAGAAGTGTACATCAGAAGGGCAAATCTCAAATCAGCGAGAATACTTGAAAGAAAATGCCAAGAAAACGAGATCTTGTGCAAAACTGGCCTTTCAGGAAAAAAATCAAGGAAAGGTTTTTGCATTATTAAACTAATCAAAGATGCACTTTTTCTGGAACATTTATCCAGAAATTTTAATTTTCATTTGTGTTCAATTTAGCTTCTCAATAAGTTTCATTTTACATTTCGCAATTGTAATACGTGATTAATTTTTTTCCCAGTCAACGCTGTCAAGGAAAATATCAACAAGCACCGCTGGAGTTTCATAAAGTGCGCGTCGTATTGTTTCCGTAATTACTGTACATCAAATAAAATTCCTTTAATAATCCGAGGCGCACGATTTTCACAAGCACGAATGCATTGAAAATTGTGAGAAGAATTCTGATGATCTTCAGAGTCCCTTATATTAAGAAATCATTGCCAGAAAGACGTGCTAGGGCTTAATCTTCGACAAGATCGTATCTCCAGGATAATCGAAACAGGAAATCGCTCTTTTGAGACTTGTTCCACTGGTACTCTTTTTTTTTCTGTGTGATACATATGAACCCCGAGAATGAACGGACGGATTTCGCGTTGTTCAACAACCATCGATTCGCTCAGATAAACCACTGCTGAGTTTGACGAGACTGTCTTCCAATTTGACACTGTTGTTTCCCACGCGGCGCCACTGGCGAACCTTTTCTTCATCCACTTTGAGCTGTTTGGCTTTGATAAACTCCACCAGGCTTTTGCCATCACGCGTTATTCTGCCCACAAGCACATTCAAACACGGGTTTTCTTGAGCACTTTTCAAGCGCCGCAATCGGGCTATCACATCCGCGGAAGAACCGATTTTCGGAAGCGATTTCAAACTCACTTCCGACACACACTTCACTGGTTCAAGCGGCGACACGTTCGGTGTTTCCGCGACACTCGACATCACAAACCGCGTCGACATGGCTTCGGGGCTTAAAAACATTTTCAACTCGGCATCCGCTGCTTTGTACTTATGAATTAATGACGCTACTCGTTTCAGAGGCGAGTTGATGGTCTTTTCCACCTCTTTGTCATAAACCACACGTTGGTTAACTGCTCCCGCGAAAGATTCCACGTCGGCTTTCAGCGTTTGCTTGAGACTAGAGGCCGCCAATGATTCCATCATTAAATCGTTCAGGTAATCCGAAAGTTTACTAGAGGAAGTTTTCGCAGACAGCGAACTCATTTGTACTTCGAAAGAAAGTTCTTTCGCCAGCGAAATTATTTCGGCGTAGACCGTGTGCATGTTTGAGCGATTCAACACAGAAATCAACGCTTTCACGGCGAGGATTTTGTGCACGATTTCCTTTCGCTGGACCGAAGCGCACCTGGAAAAACAGGGAAAAAACTTTAGAATCGATCCGCAAAACAAGTGCAAAGATACATGAGCGCAAAGTATCAAAAAGCAAATATTAAAGTACTGTACTAGAAAAAAAAAGCAAGTTCAGCATTTGAAAGAGAATCGAACATCAATAACCAGACTAAATGAACCTGAACGTATTATTTGGTCCTTGTTTTAATGATTGATGTATATTAAGCTCTTTTGTGCAGTGTAATTATTTTCCTGTACTGCACGGATGGAAAAATGCAGCACGAAGTACAACTTTATGAAAACAATCAAAGCAACAAAGTCAATTTTTTTTTCAATATTCAAAACTCAATTTTCATTTTTTGAATACTTACGTTTCACAAGGTTCATCAACTTCAGGATGGACGCTGTTATCAACAGGAACAACGACATCGCTTGCAAACGAAGCAAACCCCATCGATTCTTGAGACACCTTTCGGAGACATTCCAAGTGTCGATAAATGCTCCACAACAAAAACTTGCTAGCAGCATTCATTTTCAACTTCTTCTTCAAAATTTCCGAATAAACGTGACGAAACGAGCTTTTCCTCACAGCTCCGTGTTGTTGCAAGGCCTGCTCAACAAAGCTGAAGAGCTCCAGTTCACCGGGAATGCGAGCGTTGCGGAGTAAAGCCGTTCGAGTCATTTCGCACTTTTCGGAGTGCGACTCCAAACATCGCGTCAAATCACGCCAAACAATGCTGGTTTTCCCGCGGAGAACACGAGACACTGTTGATACATCCTCATTCATATTTCAAAAAATATATATATCTGGAAAATTGACAACAATTTGTAAAATATAACAATTCAAAGGGTGGTTCCAAGACAATAGAAGCGTCCCAAAACAGCACTTAAATATTCGAAGAAAAAAAGACTGACACAAAAAAGTTTTGACTCAATGGAAACTTGAAAATTTCCTTCATCGTGTATAATTCTGTCTTACAAATACTGCATTCGTTCAGACAAACTAAACGACCAAGCTTAAAAGGCGATAATTACTTATCCTGTTATCATCATTCGTTGTTTTCTGCAACTCGCTGTTTTGGGACGCGCGCAACTGTTCAATCATAGAAAGAATGATCACGTTTTCACGATTATCAGCAGGTGTCTCTCTTTCGTACATAATACACATTCCTTCACAAAAATACTTCAAAAGAATTTCAAGAAGTCCAGAATCAAAACAAGAGGAAATTTAATCCTAGCGGAAATTCATTTGCTTCACGCCTAAAAGAAGCATGAAGACAGGTATCATCTTTTCAAAAATTTGTAAGAATTGAATTCCATCCGAAGAGGCGTTGCTGAGATTCTCCCCGAATACATTCGACAGGCATCTGCAAAAAACAGGAATAATTATGTAACTCTAATAATACACGTCAACCATTTCAAATTTCTCGTCTTTTTTAAAAATTCAGACAATTTGCTGTGTATTTTTCTCATCAAAAAATTTATGAGTGGTGCATAACACATGTTCATCACGATGAAAAATCTAATTTTCATACTGTATTCCTACAGAAACTCACCCAAATCAAAAGAAAAACTATGCAGAAATTGAAAATCCGTCTTCAAACGATGCATTCGTAAGCAAGAATGATCCCAGCTCATATAGCCACGAAAGCCAGTGAAAAAATTCTTCAGATCACAGCGAGTGAAGTAATGAATATTGAACAATTCATCGATTCGGATTTGGGGTGATGGACGGCGGATTCCCAGATGGGCGCTTCAGGACTTGGAAACACTCTAAATACTGCATCACAGTGTCCCTCGGATGATACTGTTCCGACATCCGGTTCTGGAAAAAATTAAAAACGAAAATGGGTTTGCAGAAATGATTGACAATCCTCTCAACGAAAATATTATACAGAAGAGTAACAGTACTGCCCAACTCAGTTGTGGCCACGGGCCATACTAATACATCTTTTGTGGCCAAGGTGAACATTGCAGAGATAAAGAGTCCTTCAGTGCCAAAATAGACAATTTTTGAAAAAATGAAAAATTTCACATTTGATTCATTGCTCGGCACTGAATCACAAGCATTGCCTCGTGTGATTTTTGAAGGGTGCGCAAAGTTTTGTATTTCAACTTCATCTTTCAATAAAAATTTTGGCGCGGTTGCCACCTTGAAAATTCTAGGGAAACTGCGGGACAGATCTGGCCCATGGGCCATACGCTGGGCAGCACTGTATCTATCCAATCAATCAGAAAAAACGTTGTGTACTTTTCTCACCACAGAACATCTGAGTGGTGCATAACACATATTCATCACAGATGAAACAGTTTTTCTAAAAAAAAATTCAAACAAAAATCAACACAAACCTGGAGATACGCTGGTGGGCTATCAGGAACACAACTCCCAAGAAAACTTCGCATGAATTCCTTCATCAGCTCCCAACATTCGCCCGGGATGACGCATGGCTGATACTCAACCTACAAGAAGTGTGGAATTGAAAACTTGGTCGAAACAAATGATTTTCTTTTATACTGAATGCTTCAAAAATCAAAAAGGGGGAGGATTTTCTTGAACTTGAAAATTTCGCAATACAAAAAACATTATAAACTCACCTCGCACAAAATTCCCCGGAAGTTTTGCGTCCTGCTCGCGCTGCCAATTTTAATGAGAAAATCACCATTCATGAGCTCGAATCTCGGCCCACGACACTCAATTTTTGGCGTTCGTTTCGCCCCATGGGCACTAGTAATAGTGGCCAATAAAACATCCAAGTTAAGGTCCCCGGTCACACAGAAAGTATGCTGCGGTCCTTCAAGAACAGTGAAAACGGTTGCTGGTCGTTCTGTGTCATGCAAAATGTGTACGGTCTTGTTCAACCCTGGAAAAAAGAAAACTTTCGAAATTCTTCCCGAAATGAAAATAAAAATAGTTACTCGACAGCTGGAAAAGGTGTCACAAACCCTTACCACTAATTACGAATGATTCAGAATCAACGCAGAAGTTGCCGTGTTGAACAGCTCCTAAAGCAAGTATCCTTTTCGTCAGCAATTCGATGGTTTGAGGACCACTTTTGTCCTTTGGAATCGGAAATGTCTGCAATCTAAAGCCCATCAGGTTAAAAAAACGAACTGTCTTTTCCATAAATATAAAAACTTACATCACAACCCCCATCTCAAATGGGGGAATCGACGTTAGAAAACTCCACGAATTCTGAAAATTTTACTAAGATCATTAGTCATCCCTGAAACAATGCGCAAACTGCAGGATAAACTGCTTGAAAAAAGCCAACATACAGCAGTTTTCTTTGATCGTTCATCGAATCGAGGACGATGTATCCGCTCAAACTCAGCAAATCTATTCGCTCAAATGTCGGATTCCACGCACAGTATTATATTAATCTTTTATAATTCATCACATAATTCGTCACGTGAAGATTCCTCATCTCCAATCTTGATGTCGGCGAACACAGTTCATCAGGACAAAACACATGTCCAGGCCAAAATGGAAAGATGCGCACAATGCATTTTAGGAAAAGAACCAATGCTTCAATAATAATCGTCGTCGACTTCGAAGTCGTCGCCCACTTCTCTTCTGTGTTGCTGCAATAATTGTGCGGCAGAAAGTTCTTCTTCATCCATATCTTCGGCATCTTGAAAAAAACAGAGAAAATTGAAAAAATATACAAAAAAATATTTAGATCCAACAATCATGAAAAATTATTCCCACCATGCTCTGATTCTCCATCATCGGCAACGCTTTCGGTTTCCAGCGTTTCGAACTTCACGTCGTTGTTTTCCGATCCCCCGGAATCCACTTGCTTTGGTTTTACGTCCTCCAGAACGACGGTTTTCGAAAACACAGCCAATTTCGGCGCTTGTTTCGGAGCTTTCCTTTTCCTACTAGGCCTGAAATTTCGAAATAAGTAATTTCTTTACACCAAAGAAGACAAAATTAGAATTTCGAGGTGTACACTAAACCAACTTGATCAAAGTTCAGGAAAATCTTTCTTACGTCAAATTTTTCATAAGCAAAAATTGTGTCAATATTCCAAACAAAACCTCTTGGTTCTATTTAATTCGAATCACACTTACGCTCGGGACGTCGGTCGGGCAAAGACAGAGTCCTTAACATCCTCCGCACCAGAATCTCGCTCTGATCCGTCGTCCCCGTCAAGTGGCGTACCCGGTAAAGAAATGTCCGTTTCGACCTTCGATGGACCCGCGAGAAGAGNAAAACCTCTTGGTTCTATTTAATTCGTATCACACTTACGCTCGGGACGTCGGTCGGGCAAAGACAGAGTCCTTAACATCCTCCGCACCAGAATCTCGCTCTGATCCGTCGTCCCCGTCAAGTGGCGTACCCGGTAAAGAAATGTCCGTTTCGACCTTCGACGGACCCGCGAGAAGAGCATCAGGAGAATCCTCAGCCCCCTGCTCATCTGGTCCATTCATGGCTCGCAAATTTCGCAAAACGTCGTAATTGATCTTGCTCGAGATTTTCTTCTCCTGTAGCATTTTCTCGATCGCTTCGCCTTCATCAGAATACAATAGATTATTTTATTTCTATCATGTTTTATTTGAGAACTGGACGCGCTTTCGGATAATAAAATCCGGCGTCCAAAAAGTTTCTACGGGACGGGAAAAGTTCTGGCCCTGGAGCACATTATTTTAGATATATCCGAGGAACGTAAGATTTATCTGAACAAAGTGCTACTTATCGCGTTCATCGCAAAAATAAATGAATTATTGAAATACAGTATGTATATTGAAGGGCTTATGAATTTCAGTCGGCCGTTTTTATAAAACCTGCGGGACACCTAAAGAGGAAGGATTAATAATGGGCCCCATACGCGTACCTAACCAGAGCGGGAGAAGAAGGAGCGAAAAAAGGAGCGAAAGCGTCCACCGTAGCCATTTTCCGCTAAAAACTTCGCCTTGGCTGAAATTGAGTTATCAAACTTAAGTTGAACACTCTTCGTCACAACAATTCACAGCTGAATAACATGAACAAATTTATTCTAGGTTCATTTAATTTATATCACAAAAAAAAGCTAAATTTCTTGGTCAACTTCGCCAGATACTTACCACGTTGTTCTCGTAAATACTCAGCGTTCACTTTCGCCCACAGCATCGACTTCAACCGGGACTCTTCATTGTTCAAAAGGTAAGAATCGATTTCTTTGTCGTCGATTCCTTGGTTAAGCTCTTAAGGCAGTAGTCGTGGTGGTCTACCGTGCAAAAGTAAGGGTCGTAGCCAAAGTGAGAAGCTGCCGTTGTTAGGGTTGTAGACCTCGCTGCCTGGAAGCTTGCGTATTGTGGTTGCGAAAGCATAAAATATGTGTACAGTATTCTTTTTTCTCGCGAGGATAAAAAATAAGGATAAATATTTACATAAGCCACATGATGATACATTATTACAGTATATAAATTCTTCGTAAATTCGAAAAAAAATACTTCGTACGCAGCCCTGATCAAATAAGAGGCTCGCAGATCATAAAGTTAATTCAGATGACTGATCGAGGTTCTTTGAAATAGCAAGTTTCAAAATTCATAGACTTAGTTAGATTAATGGCGACTGGAGTTTTTATTCAATTGTGCGATAGCCAATAATGACAGGAGTTGATCACTACGTCAAAATGGTAGTTCACTATGCGAATAATTTGCAAATCATAACAACCTAATCCACCAGCACTGGTGAGCCGCTTGCAGTCGTCCTCGTCAGCAGGTATTGCTGGTTGTATCAACTTCTTATCGACACTGCCGATTTCCTCGCCAATTATATTCGAAATGCTTTCCCGCGTTTCCCCGGTGATGAACTCCATGATGTCTCGGTTTTCCTGCTCAGCACTTCGCTCCAAGTCCGACATGTACGATTCCCAGGTGGATGAACGACGTTTCCCGTCAGCCAAAAGCTTTTCAATTTGCCCTTGCAGCTCCAGGAATTCTTTGCTACTAACGTCCGGGGGCTGCG